ACATCAGTATGAATGAATCACTTGATTCCCTGGCCGGCAGATGTCGATCATGTATGGTGCAAGGCAACTCACTGACAGACTATGCAGGCAGGCAGGCAGGCAGCCAGCCTCGGAGACAGCAGGGTCCTGAGGACATCACTGCCACCCGGCACTGTGTAGTCAGCATGTCATGCTGGGTAACCTTTTTGAATCCAAGTTGCGCACACTACCGCTGAGGTCTCAAATCGGACAGTCTAGCTCTGCTGGCGAGATCGTCGAATTCAAAATCCTCTAAGCACACGCAAACCCGGCACTCTGCCTTCCCCAACATCCGTAATACGGTCTCGGAGGCTGTACAAACACGACAAATCATTGATTCAGTGACGACACAAATTCGTCTGACACATTGTAATGTAAAATTCCTGGCACTCTGCCTTGCCGCACAAATCTCGGAACGAGTACGCACAGGATCATGTCATTGATATGCCAGTCTACTTGCAAGACTTGCCCACGCTCTTCAGAATTCAGAAACATCCACAATGTCGAAAAGGACTCCTCTAGCAGCTCGTCGAAATAAATCACATAATCATCGTCGTCAAAACTGTCCGCGACCGAGCCCACAAACGAACCCCCAAACGCCGCAGTGCTTGCAAACTCGCCAACAGCCAATAAGTCCGAGACCGAGCCCAGAGACTCACTGTCACTCCACGACATCGACCACATCTGCCGGCTTGCACGGAGGCCTACTACGACTTAGACTAGAGACAGAGCAGGTCGTCGGGATCACTGCTTTCATCGAGCACACTTCAATTGTCCAAAGATTAAAACATTAACAGTGACTAATGCATCACTATACAGTACATTAATCAATGATATGTAACATTGTGTTACTACTGTTACATCAGTATGAATGAATCACTTGATTCCCTGGCCGGCAGACAGATGTCGATCATGTATGGTGCAAGGCAACTCACTGACAGACTATGCAGGCAGGCAGGCAGGCAGCCAGCCTCGGAGACAGCAGGGTCCTGAGGACATCACTGCCACCCGGCACTGTGTAGTCAGCATGTCATGCTGGGTAACCGTTTTGAATCCAAGTTGCGCACACTACCGCTGAGGTCTCAAATCGGACAGTCTAGCTCTGCTGGCGAGATCGTCGAATTCAAAATCCTCTAAACACACGCAAACCCGGCACTCTGCCTTCCCCAACATCCGTAATACGGTCTCGGAGGCTGTACAAACACGACAAATCATTGAAGCAGTAACGCCAGAAATTCGTCTGACACATTGTAATATAAAATTCCTGGCACTCTGCCTTGCCGAAAATCCCGCCGAAGTCTCGGAAAGAGTGTGAACATGATCTGCTCATTGACAGACCAGGCTACTTGCAAGACTTGCCCACGCTCTTGAGAATTCAGAAACATCCAGAATGTCGTAAAGCACTCCTCTAGCATCGTGTCGAACGGAATCACAGAATCATCGTCGTCAAAACTGTCCGCGACCGAGCCCGCAGTGCTTGCACCCTCATCGTCAACCAGAACCCAGTCCGAGCCCACAGACTCACTGTCACTCCACGACGTCGACGACATCTGCCGGCTTGCAGGGGGGCCTACTACGACTTAGACTTGAGACAGAGCAGCTGTAACACGACTATAGTAGATTACGCAGGGCAACAGCGAGCACAACTGCTGCAGCGGCAAGTTGCGATACATGACACGCTCACTGACTATGCAAGGCAGCTTGTCCTCTGCGATGGCAGCATGTCCTCAGGATCCTCGTCATGAGCCTCGGTGCCAGGACTGTACCATAATAATGGAAGTAGCTGAAGCAAGCTGATGCTGAGATCCCAGCAGTTGGCATCCACTTCTCGATGGGCTGGAAGCCGATGAAGACCGATGGGAGAGAAGGAAATGGAAGAGAAGGCGTTCACTAGGCTTGGATTCAAACCGAACACTTAGACCTGGCCAACGGTGTGGGGAGCAACCCCGATGGGGCAGGGACTTAAGTAAGGCAACCTCGAGAGGCTCGACTGGCACTCTGCCTCTGTCGATCCAAGTCGCAAGGCTCCCTAACTAACGTGACAAGCATGGATGGCCTCCCCTCCTGGTTGGGAGAAAAATAAAAAAGCCACAACCACTGGACCACCCCACCCGGCACTTTAGCCCATGTGCCCGGGTGTCATATGCCACTGCCCTGGCACGTTGGCCCCAAGGCGGTCCAGGTACCATCGACAACACCTGACACCCGGCCAACGGTGTCCACGAACCGAGATGGGCAGTCGATCCGTGTGGGTAAGGTGGCACTCTGCCTCTGTCGCTCCAAGTCGCAAGGCTCACTAACGTGACAAGCATGGATGGCCTCCCCTTCAGGGCTGTAAGCAGGCACGTTGGCCCCAAGGCGGTCCAGGTACCATCGACTCAACACCTGACACCCGGCCAACGGTGCCCACGAACCGAGAAGGGCAGTCGATCCGCGTGGGTAAGGGCAAGATCTCAAGGCAAGTCAACATGTCACTACGGCCTCCCTTCTTTGTTCAATCACAACCCAAAACTATTTAAAAAGATTAAATATTAAAAATTATTAACTTCAACAACAAATAAACAACAATTTTGTAGACATACAGCAGCAGGAAACCAGGTAGAACAACAGGAAGCCAATTGACTCACTCAGAAACAAAATTCACAAACATGTATTTTTTACACCAAAAATAAAATAAAAGAATTTTAACAACTGTAAAACACAAAAAAACCTATTTAAAAAACTTTTAAATACAAAACAATACTTTTAAATACAAAAAAACACTTTTAAACACAAATAAAGCCAACCACATACAAAAATGAGATTTTGGGTTCCTTTCATATAAGCCTTGTTGATCTAAACCCTGTGGTTCTGGTTCGGCGCAAAGGGTTAAGGAATATAGTTATATAAGTATAGCTACCCTAATTATAACCCTAGTTACTAAGTCCCATGATCCTTTAAGTAGTCAGTAAGTTCTGAGAAGAGCTACACGTCGGATAATGCCCATTTTAGTACTTCTAAGTTGTCCTTTAAGCCCATTGAAAATGATTTACTATTATGGTTCTCTACCAAATAGTAGGGGAAACTAAGTGAGATCCCAAAGGACAACCCAGACTTACAATTTTAAATACAACCCACTTGCTAAGACCCTGACCCACCATCTCCAAACCCTAGACCCCCAAACTCTCAACCCCCCTGACCCTACACTCGAAGACCCCTTGAACCCGAGGGCCCGGAACCCTCAGACCCTAAACCCGAAGCCCTCATTGTGTGAGGCGTGTAAGGGTTTAGGGTTTGGGTTTTTTTTGAAGGTGCACTGGCTCTTCTCCGGTTTAGGGTTTAGGGTTGAGCCATAAACCCCAAACCTTAAACCCCACACCCTAAGCCTTAGACTCCTTATAGACCCTAATCGTTGAGCCATAAACCGAGAGGGATGCAACAACTGAGGCCCGAAGTCCGGTTGTGCGAAACCCAAATGGGTGGTTGTCAAAACTAAGGTCCCTTTTTGGGTACCCTAAATAATAGGTGCGGTATTAGAATAGGGACCCAAAAACTCTGACCGACAGATGTCCGTGAATAACGGGGACCCGAAAAGGGGCCATAATTTTGACAACCACCCAAATATAGAGGCCGTGATGATTAGAAGGATACGGTGCCTTCGTAAAGGGGTTGTCTGAAAGGTCTCCTGTAAGGGTTTGGCAGAGCGTTTACTGTAGGGGCCATAATAATTAGAACGGCATTTTGGGCTCTGTCTTACTACAATCATAACTTAGGGCGTTACACTGAACCCTACACCCTCAAAAGACAGAGCTGCGTGCATACTAGGCTCAGGCGCACCAAGCGACGGAGCCGCAGAGAGCCATCTTGCGCGGTCAAGGTGACTTCCACCTGGGGGCGTTCTAGGATAATTAGTGCTAGGATCCTCTATACTTTCCTGTTACCTTAAGGGCATCAGGATGTTGATGTTCCAACTTTCTGGTCTCGACTGTGATTAGAACAGGGCTCCAGCGTTCCTCAGGTTTCCTTGAAACGGGTTCTATTGCGGGATACAATAATGTAGGGGCCTTAATAATTAGAATAGGGTTTTGGGGCCCATTATACTATAATTGTATTAAGGAACCCCCAAAATGGTGTTGGTAATTATTCTGGCCCCTACATTAGTGGCTTTTTATCATGCAGGTGTTGGAAGTTTCGGGTCATTTTCTGCCACTCTTGGCGGATTGGTACTTTGGTACCTTGCAAGGTGCGTCCCTTCAAAAAGACAGTGCGTCCAAAACCCTAAACCCCTAGACCCTAAACCCTAAACCCTAAATTTTAGAGGCTACCCTCCAAAAGACAGAGATTAGGCTTTAGCCAACTGTACAACTAAACACAGATACCAGGCTTTAGGTGTTGGTTTCGGGGCTTTGGTTTCGGGTTTAGTGGTGTAGGTTAGGAGCCTGAACAACCACACCTTGGTCCTGCTTCCGCCCCAAAATGAGAACAGTATCATTATCATTGTAATTCAGTAGTTGTTTGGAATATTTATTCATATTGTTTTCAAAGATATCATCATTTGTGTTTAATGCAAAGAACTGTTCATTTTGATCAGATAAACCATTGCAAATATCACAATATTTAAGATACCCTGAACCCTAAGCCCACGTCCGGACATCGCTCGAAGACTACTTGATCGCCCAAAAATACATTGGGGTTCTTGTCGGGGAAGCCTTACACGCAAACGAAAACTATATCCCTAAACCCTAAATCCTGAGCAATTGCAACCTCCTACTATAAACTACATACCTTTGAAAGCCTTTACCCCAAATCGAAAGCCTCGAAACCCTAAGCACAAACCGCTCGAACCCCGCATCCAAGATTTTCGTCCTACACCCATTAAAGCCTAAACGAGTAAACGCTATGTATGTTCCGACCCACTTCAAGACTAAACCCTTTGAGCCCTAACCCCCAAACCCTGCAACTCTGGTGAAACCCTAAACCCTAAGCCCCAAACCGACGTCCACCTTGAGAGCTTGCTGCAACGCCTGTATTGAAGAAGAGGATGAGGACGAAGATGAGGACGAGGACTCCACTGGCGGGATCGGAGCGCTCCTGAATCTTACCCTTGGTTAGTAGGGAATGGAGGAATGGGGTACAACTATAACTACTATTACTACCAGTCTTCCATTCCCTACTAAACAAAGGTGAGGAATTGGGGCGTAGGTGTTCAGGTTTAGGGTGTTAGGGTTTGAGGCTTTACGAGTTCCGGGCTTCGGGTCTGGGACTTCAAAGTGCAGGAGTTTTGGGTCCAGGCATTCGTTGTTTAGGAAGATATGGGTGGTTGTCAATTTTATGACCCCTGTTTAGGTACCCTAAATATTAGGTGCCGTGTTACATTAGGGGACCCCAAAAGGGACCATAATTTTGACAACCACCCATATATTTTAGATTGGCCCTAAACATTAGACTAGACCCTCATGAACACCCCCAATCAGAAAAAATGTAAAGCCCTTATCCAGAAATCTCAATACCCCTTAATTAAGGAAAATGTCTTAAATTACAGGCGGGCTCATTTTAATTCCTTAACTAAGGGGCATTGGGATCTCAAGGTAACCACCCACAATCACAAGCACCCTGTACAAAGAGCCAGCACCACAAGAAGAAGATAATGCGGGGTGCTTGTTGCTAGCCAAAACGCCCCCAACATCCCAGACAAACTTGCCAAACCCCAAAGACCAAATCCTGAAGCCTAAGCTCGAACCCCTAAACCCTAAAACACAATACTAAACCCGAAACCCTAGACCCTAAAACCCAAAACCCTAAACCCTAAATCCGAAAACCGGGACCCAGAAGCCTCACCTTAGCGCCTCAGACGAAGCCAGAGGCTCCGCAGCTCTTCCACGGACTTGTCAAGGATCTTGCTCACCAGCGTCCTTGCTTTGTGGTGCGTAGGGGTTCAGGGTTTAGGAGGCCTCAAACGGTGGGATATTCCCAAATAAGAGTCCTTATATAAGGGATCCTTGATCCTACCTACCTTCATCCCACCTGTTGAAGCCTCCGAGGGTTTAGGGTTTAAGTTTAGGGTTCACGGTTTAGGGTTTAGGGCTTGTGGTTCTAGGTCCCTGAGTAGCCCCGCTCACCAGCGTCCTTGCTTTGTGGATTGCAGGGGTTCAGGATTCAGGGTTTAGGGAACAGTGTTTAGGGTTCAGGGTTTAGCGTTTAGGGAGTAGGGCTGAGAATTGAGGGTTCAGAGGCTATAAGGTTATTCCGGGTCTTCTAGGGTTTTCGAGTGGTTTAGGACTCGTGGGTTTGGAGGCTTTAAGGCTTTAGCGCTCTGGCTGCAGATCAATTGTACAAAGCCCAAAAGCCTGACAAATCCTTAACTCAAAAGATCCCAAAGCTCGACCATAGAATACAAGCCCAGAGCCTTACGGGGTAGGGGCCTAAAGACCCTAAATTGCATGAACCCCAAACCAAAAAGTTTTGAAAAACCACAGAAGCCGAAACCCCACGAAACCCTGAAACCTGCAAAGCCCACAACCCATTGTCTTGCCCACCAGCGGCTGGGCATCCGGATGCAAAGACTTGCATTTAGATCTGAGTGCTTCTTGCAGATCTGCTGTCCAAGCTCCAAACTCCTTGGACGAAGGCTTACGGCGTTTGCATTTCAGGGGTCCTATAAGGGAATGCAAGCAGACAGCATCGTCTAAAAGGGACACTGGGGACATCATCACCAAGTTGTCGGACCTCAATGTTTGTTTGGGACTTTTCGTTTCTCTACTGATTTCTCGGAGCCATACCTCCCTAAACACCAAGCCCGCAACCCTGAAACTAACGTCTCAATCCTAAATTTGGTGGCCCTAACAAGCCTAAACCCTAATCCCCAAAATTTAGACCCTAACCCCTAAACCGAACTAGACGCCCTGAACGCCGAGTTTCTGGCTCCAGGGCTTGCGGTTGAGGACTGAAGGCTACTTTAACATTTCGTCCACTGGGTTTAGGGCTTAGGTTTTAGGGTGGCTTCGAAGGGTTGTAGGGGACATGCAAAGATTCGTGGAATGTATGTAGCATTGAGGGCAAAGGGTTGTGGGGAGATGGCGATAATGCTGAGAATACTGATGATGATGATGATGACGATGACGATGATGATAATGAAAATGATGGTAATGATGAGAATAAGGATACCGCCAATGCCCTGATAGTTCGGCTTTACAAGGGAAACTCCATAATTATTTTTTTATTCCACAAAACAATACTACCGCCAGGCCTAAACCCCAAATCCTAAACCCCCAAAACTCTACAATGCCTAAGACGGGGATTTGACGGCTGTGATGCAGGTGGCGACTACGACGACGACCTAGCCTCGGCATGTAGCACTGCAACACCGACGCCGTCCCAACAACATGCAAGCCTAAAACCCTAAACCCCGAAACCCCCCAAATACACATCACCGACTGGACCACATTTTGCCAAACTCCTGTACTACTCCGAGAGGAGAAGTGGTTCGGGCTTAGGGCTTCCCAGGGGGAGTCTGTAATTAAGGGTTCTACACCCTAAACCTTAAGCTCTAAACCCCTAAGACCCTCAAACCCTCAAACCCTCAACCCTAAAACCCTAAATCCCTAAACTCTAGATCCTAAAAGCCAAAACGTATTTAAAGCAGCTTAGATCGAGTCTCCGTGGCCCGGGCGACCTCGATCTGGAGTTGGGTTTCGACCTTTCGGTTCTTACTTGGAGGGTCGGGGGACTTAGTAAGTAGCTATTCTGTAGACTTATAAGTATCATAACTCCAATTGGGGCCCCTTCTTCAAGTACTTATAAGTCTACTTATTACCTACTTACTAAGTCCCCCGACCCTCCAAGTAGGGATTTAGAGTTTTGGGCTGCTGGGGGGTTTAGGGCCTAGGGTTGAGGGGTTTGGGGTCTAGGTTTAAGGTTTAGGGCTTAGGGTTGAGGGTTTAGAGTTTAGGGCTTTTGGTGGGTTTAGATGGGAGGTTTTGGGTTTCAGGGTTTAGGGGTTTAGGATTTAGGGGTTTGGGAGTTAAGGTCTACAAGGATTCGACCTTTCGGCTTAGGCATTTGGGACCTCTATATATATATATATATACATATATATATATATGCTCACACCCCCCCCCCAAGACCTACCGCGAGGTGCTTCGGCTAGCAATGGGTAGTAGAACATGTAAGGATTTGAGGAAACCATTAGGATAAAATACACTCATACATAAACAGTGGAAACATATATCGTGTATAATCAATAGCTGAATACACTGTAATGACCTACGACGGCGCGACATCGCCGTTGGCGGATTTGGGCAAGCTTCAATGCCTGCAATTGTTTAATAGGATACTGCCTAAATGTTCCGGATATTCATAACTCTGGTCATATAATGACCATAGGCATAACCCGAAGACAGGACCAAGACAGAACAGTGTCTGCGTCCTACGTAAGATCGTTAGATGCGCCGGGTAACTTTGTGTTTGCCATTGTCTGTTTTCAATTTTGTTCATGTACTCATAGGCATAACCTAAAGACGGGACCAAAACAGAACGATGTGTGCATCCTACCTAGGACCGTAATGAGGGTTACATGTGCACACATGTTTATTCTGTGTGAAGCTCTTAGGTTACTCATGCGCCAATGTGTATAATAGCTATTACTAGTGCGAATACTAATACTGATACTAAGATTTCTATTCCTACGAATAAGGATATTACTGTTCATAACATAATAGGCTTAATGGTTAATACTAGTATTAAAAATTGCACTACTAATTCGAATAGTAGTGCTGATGGGAATATTAACACTCCTGGGGATACTAATACGCATATTCTTATTAACTGTTCTCAATATGAATACTAATAGTACTAGTTGTTTGGAATACTAATACTTGTCCGAATATTCATACCAATACTCAGGCTACTGCGATTATACATAATAGGACATTAATATGGGTATTCGTATTAAGGTCAGCATTTCCTTCGAAAGTATTCATATGCGCATCATAATTCATCTTAATACTCGTACTGATATGAAATAGTATGATTACAAATACTTTTACGAAGACGGGTACTTTCAGTAATACCGATACGAATATGAATACTAGTGTTCCTACGAATATTAAAAAACATACCCATATTGATAGTAATTTTAGTATTTATTTGTTACCAATATACACGCACATGCTAACATCAATACTAATATGCACATAAGTGATACAGTTCCTCCGCAGATTAATGCGCATAGTCTCATTAATTATTCTCAGTATTTATGTTCACATTAAAAAAACCTACACTAACATGATTGATACTCCAGCTAATACGATTATGCATAGTATGAACAGCGATACTGCTATTGATACCAATATTAATGCTCCTACGAATACTAATAATCACGTTCAAACCAAATACAAAAAACAGACACATCAATGTACCAAAGAATCTGTATTTTCACATACCAATAAATAATATACTCGTATACTACTATTCCAATGTTACCATAGACTTACAAATACAGAATATACTGATATGAGACTATACACTGGTTAATATTAACGCTAAGAAAAAGGCAGAGACTAAGACCAAGACTAATACGAATACTAAATCTCACACTAGACATTAACACTACCATTAGTACACCTATTGTATAGACTTATATTCAGACTAATACTAACGCTGACATTGGAATTGACATTGACACTGACACCAACACTAACAGTAACACTAATCAACACGCTAGAACGCAGATACTAATACTAACACTAATGCCTAATGCACATCTGAAGACTACTGCGCGTAAACAACGAAACCATTTCCGATCAAGCATGCTGCGCGCTGTATTGGCTCTAAGGCTCCGAGAACCAAAAATCCAAAAAACCAAAAATCCAAAACCTTTGTCAGGGGGGTCGAAACTTTTGGATTTTTTGGTTTTCCTAGGGTTTTTTTGGTTTCCCAGCAGAAAACCAAAAAAATCCAAGGTTTTTTTGGTTTTTCAGCAGAAATCCAAAAAAACACAGGTGTTTTTTGGTTTTGCACCAGAGACACAGCAGAAAAACCAAAAAAACCCTTGAGTTTTTTTGGTTTTCCACCGAAAATCCAAAAAAAACCATGGTTTCGCCAAGGCAAAGCCCAAAAAACCAAAAAAGACCTAGGAAAACCAAAAAATCCAAAAGTTTCGGGCCCCTCAGAAAGGCTTTGGATTTTTGGATTTTTGGTTTTTTGGTTTCCGCCGAAACACCACAAAACCAAAAATCCAAAAATCCAAAACCTTTGTCAGGGGGGTCGAAACTTTTGGATTTTTTGGTTTTCCTAGGGTTTTTTTGGTTTTCCAGCAGAAAACCAAAAAAATCCAAGGTTTTTTTTGGTTTTTCAGCAGAAATCCAAAAAAACACAGGTGTTTTTTGGTTTTGCACCAGAGACACAGCAGAAAAACCAAAAAACCCTTGAGTTTTTTGGTTTTCCACCGAAAATCCAAAAAAAACCATGGTTTCGCCAAGGCAAAGCCCAAAAAACCAAAAAAGACCTAGGAAAACCAAAAAATCCAAAAGTTTCGGGCCCCTCAGAAAGGCTTTGGATTTTTGGATTTTTGGTTTTTTGGTTTCCGCCGTCGTATCGTGTGGTTTCTTTTAATGTTTCTTGCTTATGAATACAGGCATATAATTTGAAAGCGGACATGAGTAGGCACGACGTTGTAAAGAGACATGACTTCACATCAGCCATGATAGAGAAGGTATCATCACCGAAAATTACGCAAAACACGAATCGTATGCCAAACGCGAATCCCTGCCAAGAGAAGGTTTTGACGGTATTTACAATGGAAAAGAGGCCGAGGTAGGTCATGGGGGGGGGTGTGTCCATATATATATATATATATATATATATATGCATGTAGTGGTTTATTTATATGCATATGTTCTACATATACACCTGTATACGCACACACACACACACACACACACGCGCACACGCGCACTCCTTTATTTTCCTGTTTATTTACCTGAAACCCTATGAGCTCCCAATCGGCCTGTTTTAGCCGAGTCCTCTTGGAGGACCCCAGCTGCTGCACCGCGGATCCTGCAGGTTTAGGGTTCCCTCCACGCGTCCCTGTAAGAGTGCTTTTGGGGTTCCTATAAGACAAAAAGATTCCTGCATAGTGGGTTTAGGGATACTACAAGGGTTCCTACACACAGTGGGTCTTGGCTTTGGGGTTCGAGGTTTAGGATTAGTGGAGGGTAGCCTGGAGGATGAGGGTTTAGGGCTAGGGTTTAGGGTTTAGGGTTTAGGGTTTAGGGTTTAGGGGTTTAGGGTTTAGGGTTTGAGGTTTAAGGTTGATGGCTTAGGTTTTTTTTGTAAAGAGGCTTTAGGGTTGCTTGTCTTGGCTCCTTTATTTCCCAACTCCCAAGCAGGTTATCTCAGGAAGACCTGTGCGGGGTTTACGGCTTGTGGTTTAGGAGACGTCCATCCTTAATCTTTTTTGCCTTCTCGCGATGCTAATGAATTGTGAACATGTGTTCGAACACGCTAAACCCTAAAACCTGAACGGTTATGCTTTCGAGGTCTCTATGGTGTCGCATTAGGAATTGTCCAGATTGTCGGTTCGAAACTCTTGTGGGACCAGGGCTACGTGCTTCGGTTGCAAAGCCTAGCGAGAGGAGGATGTCGATGACGATGAAAGCATCCTCGATTTAGTGTTTATCTGAATCTATGGTTGAATACATCATTGTGTGCACATACATATACTAATGTGTATAGACATATATGTGTACGTATTGGTATATGTATATGTATATGTATATGTCCCCCATTGGAAGTGCCCTAGAGGGGTCCCTCCTTAGTGCCCGTGAGTCACTCAGGTACGTGCACCTAAACCCTAAACCTGACACCTTACGGAAGCCCATACAGCCCCTTGGCCCTACAAGGCAAAATTCAATCCAAGCCTTCATGGAAACCTCAAAAAGCCCCAAAGCCCCACACCCTAAACCCTAAGCCCAAAACCCTAAACCCGAAACCCAAAGCCCTAAACCCTAAACCCTAAGCCCTCAACCCTAAACCCTAAACCCTAAGCCCTAAACCCTAAACCCTAAACCCCCAATCCGAAACCCGATACTGTACGGTAGAAGCCAGAAAGTTAGAATATCATTATCGTATCCCCTTTAAGGTAAATTATAGGGGATCCTACCATTAATCCATATTCCAACTTTCTGGACTTCCCTTTAACCCTAAATCCTAAACCCTAAAAAAAAAAAGAATCCGAAACCCGATACTGTAAAGGGGTCCTGCACATTGCGCCTCACCGAGGTCGAAGTGCGCACAGCGCTTTAGGAGCTCCTGTCGCGCCTGCAGTTCCCAGAGACTCCCATATCCCTTAATTAAGGAATACCTAGGGTCCCTTTAAGGGATCTATATGGGATCTATAGGGTTTAGGGTTTAGGGGGCTCCAATAGCCTTTAATTAAGGAATATACCTTAAATTGAAGTAGGATCCCTAATATGATTTAAGGTATATTCCTTAATTAAGGGATATTGGAGTCGCTGGGTTCAGCTTTTTAAGGAACCGTTTAAGGAACCAGATTCTTTGTAGGATTCCTTGAAGGTACCGTTAAGCAAAATCTTCACTAGAGTAATCGGTATAGACCCCTTTAAAAGGAACCCTTTTAAAGGGAACCCAAACTCAAAATCCTTTACGGAACCCCGCGAGGGGCCTCGGTCGTGATTTCGCAGTAGCCGGAGGCCAGGTCGAAAATGCCCTGGCGCTGATTTCGATTCGGGGTGTAGCTGGGATGCTCAGCAACCTAGGAATAAAAGGGCTGCCTTTTTGGTATTGGGTAACTTTATAAGGAACCTAGGACTACAAAAAGTGAAAAACAAAAACACCGGGAGCCCTAGCTTAGGATTTGGGTTCAAGGTTCAGGGTCTAGGGGTTTGGGGTGTAGGGCTTCAGGGTTTAATTCCGGAGTGGGGATGCCAGGTTTACGGTTTGGGACTATTGATTTTGGGTCAGGGCTCAGGATTTGGGAGTTCAAGGCTTTTTAAGTCGGCCATGCGCCACCCACACTTGTTCTGAGAAATTGAAACGATTCAGCGTTGCGCGTCGGCGCAGACAGGAGTTTACGGCTTCGGGTTTTTTCGATTTGCGCTCAGGGTTTGAAGGTTTCACGCGTTGCTCCTTGTTCCTGTGAAGCCCGAGGTCACCATCTGTGCCCTCAACCAGAAATCAATCCTAAACTCCTACCCAAAAGCCTAAGCCTTACATCCTCAAACCCTTAAGAAACCCTGCGAGGGCACCCTATAACAGCTTTTAGAACCCTTATAGAACCCTTTTAGAATACTTAAACCCCACCACCCCCTACGCAAGCTTTAAACCCCGTGACACCCCGCCCCCAAACGGCCTGGTCATGACAAGCCTGCCGGTAGATCAGCCGCTCTTCTGAGGTATGATCCACCTGAGATGATTGGGGCTTGTGGGGGTTTTCAGGCCTTCCAGAGGGTGTTTAGAGGCTTTCGGGAATGTTTGGGGGCTTCCAATCGGGGTGTTTTGGCCTTGCAGGATATGGCTTCGGAACTTTTTTTCGCATGGCGTTGGAGGACTGTGCTTTGAGATCTGTAGCTTTTGGAGTTAGGGTTTCAGGTCCACGGTTTAAGGTTTAGGGTTAGGGTTTAGGGTTTAGGGGTCCGCGGTTTCGGGTTTAGGGTTGACATCTTGGGAATTAGGATCCAGTGGGTTAACCAGTTCTGCATTTGGTGAGCTCTGATAGAGGCGTTTGGCCCTATGCCGTCAACACTGCAAAGAAGCTATTCGCATTGTCTCACGTGCAACACCTTCGCACCACTAACCCCCCTACCCTAAGGCCCTGGACCCTTAGTACTTTCCTGTGGCCCCAAACCCTACTGAATAGTAGGTTATGACCCCTTAATTCGAGGGAAGAACCCTTACACCGGCAGGTTTTTGGATCCCCTGGTAACACTTATTGTCCCAGGAACAAAGACTTCGTACTCCTTGACGCCGATTCGCTCGATGAGTTGCGAGGAGCTCTGCCTGATCAATCCGACACCCTACCGTTTCATGGGGATCCTGTCTTACCTCCTTAGTACCCTAGCCCAAAAAAAGGCTAACGTTTTCAAGTATGGTAGGATCATCCGAACCCCAAAAGGTTGAACATTACCTACTCAGCTACTCAACTTTTACTTCCGTATGGTGCAGACGCTGATAGCAGCAGAGTTAGGTGCTGCTATGCAAACGTACACCCTAAACCCTAAACCCTGAAACCTAAACCCAAAACCCTGAAGCCTCCACCTTGATCCCGCTTCAGCTGGCCTTGGATTCAGGGTCCAGGGCTTGGGGCTGGGCCGAGACCATGAATATAGGGACCCTATTAATTGGAATAGGGCCTGGGAGATACTTTATGTAGTATGGTACTTAAAATAGCAAGGAACTAAAGGGAAGAGGGTGTTGACAAGATTCTTAAGGAACAGCATCGCTAATTACTATTCCGGCCCCGACATTAACCATTCAGCCCAAATCGGGAATTCCGGCTTCAGGCCTAGATTTATCAGGCTTGGGTCGTTGTTAAGAAACAGTTTGTGATGAACTCTAGATATGTGGCCCCACACGCGACCAAATCGCACCAACAGCTGGATACGGGCAAAGCAAGAAGAAGCTCGTTTCCAGATCTGCCAGTATACCCTAACGAAGGAGTAGTTTTTAACTCATATTAAGAATCCTATCAAAATCTGAGGCATATTCCTGAATTAAGGGATGTCGGGAGACCTGGGTGAGGTTTTGGGTTGCATGCTCTTGGGTTCAAGCTTGGGGCTTAGGGTGTAGGGGAGATCGAACCTTATCTTCAAGTCCTAGGCAAGATCGAAGCGGCTGTCGCGTATGACGCTTGTAGCATGGCACTGGATGCAAGCGTTTCATGCTGATCAGTCGTGGTTCGTTCGTCTTGGGGTGTGGACCACGGGTTTGTTGTTGGTGAAGATGCCACGGAAGTTGTTGGCGACAATTGTGATGATGACGAAGACGAAGACGATAGGGCCCCAAAAAAGCACATAAGCAAAAATTAGGATAGGGATATCCCATATAAACCCCCTTATAATGAAGCCCAATAAGGTAGGGATATCCCCATAAAATGCTTATGCTTATGTGCTTTTTGGGTCCCTAAGACGATGACGATGACGATGACGGTGACGGTGACGGTGACGGTGATGGTGATGGTGATGGTGATGGTGATGGCGAAGGTGGTGGTGATGATGGCGATGATGATGCTGCTGATGATGATAATGGTGATGTGATGACGATGATTGTGGTGATGATGATGACGATGACGATGACGATGGTGATTGTGATGGTGCTTTCTTGATGACGAGGACACCCTTCAACCCAAAAACCGCGACATGGCGTCTCTGCCTGACGTGGTTTGCGACAAAGGCTTCGGCAGCTTCCTCTCAAGGTGCTTGGTTGGGTATAGAGTGTTCTACAGTCTTTGGAGAGGCTTTATGGGAATTCCTAAGACTCCGGGTGCCTCCTTCGAAACTTAAGCCTCAGGCTCCAAACATTCGCCCACCCTGTAACCTGAAACCAATCCCACACCTGGACCATAAGTTCTCGAAGCTGGAAATCGTCAAAACCAAGGGAAGAGGTGGCTTAATACAAGGGCCTTCATCATTCGAAGAGGCTTTGGGGTTGTAGGTTATCATACAACCATTTAGCGACTATACTGAAAACACGTTTACAGACCCCTATATTACCTGTATTGCTCCCGACTCTGCTTGAAGGGCGTAGTGGTCTGGACTCAGGAGAAATGCCGAATAGGTGTGCCTGCGTCATTTCCGCGATAGGAGCTGTATCAGGTTACTACAAGGGGTACTGCATAGTATATACGGGATTCCTCGAAGTGCTGGCTTATGGGAGCTTACGGTTGTTCACAGTGTTAACAAGCCGGCCACTGTGCATATGGTTAGGGTTGGTTCAGGGCCGTACAACCAAAGCTGTAAACCAGATACCCTGCATTGCTAAAGCCTGAGCCCTAAAACCCCGAACCCCGAACTCGAAGAATCCACAACCAATGCCCTGAATTCAATCCTACACACAAGCCTTCCTTGTGCTACACGCAGGGCGGGGTAACGGTTCAGGTAACGGGGCTCCGGCTAGGGCTTACAGTTTAGTGTGTAGCTTTCGAGTCCGGTTCGGGGCTTAAGAACAGGTTGAGCTAGCAACTGTCCTTGACAAAACTCGCCACTGGTCACGACTCAATACTTGGCAAAGAGCTTACCTTTGGTTAGTAGGGAATGGAAGAATGGTAGTAATAGTAGTTATAATTGTACCCCACTCCTGCATTCCCTACTAACCAAAGGTAAGAAAGAACCCTAAACCCTAAACCCTAAACCCTAAACCCTGCACCCGAAACCCAGAGTTCTATCTGCAAAAAAACACGAAATCCGGCAGCCTAAGTCCCATACCCCGGCTCTAAAACCTAAACCCTACAACCCTAAATCCTAAACCCTAACCTAGGCCCTATACAACCCTAAAACCCCAAAACCCCAAATAGGCACCCGCATATGATCCTAAGGGTTTAGGGCCTTGACTCCGAAAGTATGTAGAAGAATAGCCGGTATGGGGCTGTTACTTTACCTGCTTTTGAGGTTTAGGTATAACTATTTTAACCCACTTAGGAACCGTTTAGGCGACTTCTCTGTCTACGAATTACCTACTTACTAAGTCCTCCCCGAAACCCCAAACCCCTAAACCCTCCAAGAGGCCCGTAGCTTCTCTTGGTTCTCGCAAAACCATTGCTGCGATTGCTTCAAGCGCCTGCGCGAGTCTAGTTCTTCAGGCCCCTATACCATGGAACCCTACTAGAGATCCCTTTTAGGGATCCCTTTAAAAGGAACCCTGCTATAGATCCCTTTTAGGGATCCCTTTAAAAGCAACCCTATTCTAATTATTAAGGCCCCTAAAGCGCCTGCGCGAGGGCATGGCGGGTTCAGGCTTCAGGGCTCCGGGGCTCCAGGGGTTACGGGGTTTAGGGTTTAGGGGTTTAGGGGTTTGGGGTTTAGGGGTTTAGGGGTTTAGGGTTTAGGGGTTTAGGGGCTTAGGGGTTTAGGGGTTTAGGGGTTTAGGGTTTAGGGGTTTAGGGGTTAGGGGTTTAGGGGTTTAGGGGTTTAGGGTTTAGGGGTTTAGTCACAGGGTTGATAAGGGTCCCCTGTGGACGGGACCCCTGTGGGTTGCATTTGTCCACTGGGGCCCAATGGGGCCAAATGGGGCCTAATGGGGCCCAATGGCTTTCCCATTTGCCCCCATTAGGCCCCATTGGGCCCTATTGGGCCCCATTGGGCAAATGCAACCCACAGGGGTCCCGTCCACAGGGGACCCTTATCAACTCTGTGATTTAGGCGTTTAGGGTTTAGGGTTTTAGGGTTTAGGGGTTTAGGGGTTTAGGGTTTAGGGGTTTAGGGGTTTAGGGGTTTAGGGGTTTAGGGGTTTAGGGGTTTAGGGTTTAGGGGTTTAGGGTTTAGGGGTTTAGGGGTTTAGGGTTTTTTCACATGGCTGGCTGAACTCTCACGAGTGCACTCCACATGCAAAACATGACAGACAAAACATATAGGAGGGGAATCTAAGCAAACCTGCCAAACTGCAGGAAGTGATTCAACCCCAACAGCCGCAGTGGGCCGTAGAATCACACGATCGCCGCAGAAGCAAGCATGCCAACTGCGTGTCGCGAAAGTTCCCGCGCTTCGCGCAGGGATCCTCCTGGCCGCCTCCAGCACACATTTTGTGATGTCGGCGATCCCAAAACATCTGTCCAACAAAGCGACCGGAATATCCTCATCGCCTGGCCTGGCACGTGCGGCAAAGTGGAGGAGCGCTTTGGCAAATGCGTGCAGGTCGTGGGTGGAAGGGCGCTTGCGGACAGAGGGGCCGGAAGGCCACAGGAGATTAGTCTGAGCCTCCGAAGGAGCGGCAACCTCAACGGTGGGCGTCAGAGAAGCCCAAAATGGCTTCGGTCCGAAGACCGGCATGGCTGGTGGCCATGCAAAGGAGTGCCCTCGACGAGTGGATGGCACCGGATCCAAGTCTGCGGCTTCGGTAGCCGCGAGGCACTTCTCGCTCTTGCGGAGATGCAGCTTGAAACGGTCCGTCGACCAAAACTCTTTGCAGCGCACCTCGCACTTTGTGCCAGCTGCCGCAAGGTCGGCCCCTTAACTCTAAAACCCCAAACCCTAAACCCAAACAAGAACCCCGTGAAAGCTTGGGTTTCGCACTGTCACGGTATCCTTGCATGCTATGAGCGGCAGAAAGCTATAACCCGAAGTCCGAGCCAGCCCGCTTGGTCTTAGGTCGGGTTTCGTGTTTAGGGTTGCTTTTTGAGCGCCTCTTTCCGCCTGCCAAGACAGAATCCCTCCTAGCGGTCCATACTACCTGTAGGCGATTAAAGGGTTTAGGTGCTTAAGCTGGGGACAAGGGACATTCGAGGTTGCATAGTATCTTGGGAGTGTCTGATTAGTTTCTACCTGGATCCTCAAGCCTAAACCCGAAACCGACCACGGAATCTGCAGGAATCTGCACACAACACCCGATATCCATCTTTCTGCAACCCAGAAAAGCGTCGCAAACGCTCTTGCTCGCAAGAGCTTTCTTTCAGAGTTGACTTTCGGGACTTGGCTTTGGAGTTTAAGCATCACAGTCTGCTGGGGTCTGTCCGTAGTCGCGGGGCATCGAAACCAAACTCGGGTATGAGTACCCACTTTCCAAAAAGCTGCCGAGATCCAAGAAACTCTAGAAAGCCCATAATAGAGGGGCCTAAATAATTACCTACACTATTTTGGTGGTTCCTTACTATGATTATAGTATAATGGGCACCACAACCCAATTCCAATGACGAAGGCATATACATTAAAACCTGGCAAAAGTCGAAAGCTCTCAAGACAAAGTACAACCCAGCAAAGGTCATGTTTCTGAAGCCCCGAACAGCCCTAGCACTCAACTCCATCTCAACCCTCACTAAACGAAGTCTCCAACTCGAAACCACCTCACCTTCGTATGGAATTGCCCCAGTAGCTTGCCGTGGCCATGATCTCCGCTTGTGCCTGCACCCCGGGAGGTATCATTTATCTAGGGGCCTGGACAATTAGAACAGGTAATTGAGTATTTTAATGCGTATGTACTCCCATGAAGCCACCCTACCCAAACCCCGGGAGGATCTGGAAAGTAGATCCCCTAATTTGGGGCCCTATACTACTAAGGGTAGTTCTTAATGGGATCTACTTTTTGGATCCTCCCGGGGGTCTGGGTTACGGGGGATGGAGGGATTCAGGATTTAGGGGCCAAGCTCTGGGTTGTAGGGCCTCGGTTTTTTGGGACCCGCAGGGGAGAGTTGACATTCGAGGGGATTAGGAACACGGAACGCGGACAAACAGAAGCCTACAGCAAATCTCAAATACTAAGACTCGGTGAAAGCTTCTACAAGTAACTAGGGTGCTCATCGGGTGTGAGAGGGCCTTCACGGGGTGCGCCAAACCCAAACCCCCAAACCCTCAACCCCTTAAACCCTCAAAACCCTAAAAACCCTAAACCCTGAACCCTAAACCCCGAACCCTAAACCCCTAAAACCCTCAAAACGCGAAACCCAAAACCCCAAACCCTAAACCCTGAAACCCTCAAAACCCGAAACCCTAGACCCCACGTCCTAAACCCTAAAACCCTAAACCCTGAAACCCTAAAACCCTAACCCAAACGATGAAACCCTAAAAAACCCCAACCCTTCGCCCTCAACCCTCCTAAAAGCCCTAAAAACCCTAAACCCCAAACCCGAAACGTCCTTTGACATGCTCATAGAGCTGCCCTGCCTTTGTGGCATTGGGGAAGCCAAGCAAATTGGCGACCTAGCAGTTCATGAGAGCTCCCAATACCCCTTAATGAAGGAATATGCCTTAAGGTTTAGGGGGCATAATATTTTGATTCAAGGTATATTCCTTGACTAAGGAATCTGGATTATGCCTTAAATCATATATTAAGCCCCCTATAAGCTCTGACTGCTATTGCCCTTTGCAACCCCCCTCAACCCTAAGCTAAGCTCCAAAGCCTCGTTAAACCCTGAACCCTAGAACCTAAACCCTTGCAGTTCTTTTTCAAAAGGAACCCAACGCTGGAATCTCTTGCTTTACTCCCCAGACCCCCGTGAGGATCCAAAAAGTAGATCCCTTAATGGGGGTTCCTGTAAACAACCCTTAGTAGTAGTAGTAGTAGTAGTAGTAGTAGTAGTAGTAGTAGTAGTAGTAGTAGTAGTAGTAGTAGTAGTAGTAGTAGTAGTAGTAGTAGTAGTAGTAGTAGTAGCAGCAGTAGTAGTAGGGCCCCAAATTAGGGGATCTACTTTCTAGATCCTACCGGGGGTCTGGGTCTTGCTTGCGACAACTTCCACCGGATGCCACAGCAGTCCGTCTTGGCCTTGGTTGTCAAAATTAGGGTCCCTTGTTGGGTACCATAAATATTAGGTGCCGTATTGTATTAGGGACCCAAAAAGGGACCATAATTGTGACAACCACCCAACCCTACCGAGAGTGCCAAGGTACCTTTAAAAAAAGTAAACGCACCAGCTGTTTACGATCATGCCTCTTTTTGTTAAAGGTACGCTGGCTGTTCTAGGCAAACCGTTCAGCGTACACCCTAGACCCCAAACCTACAATCCTAAACGCTGAAACGCGTTAATGTTCCATGAGGCTTTTGGACAGCTTTATCAACTGTACGGTTACAAGGTGTTTGCTGCTGGATTTATAGAGTGTAGGCTGCGGGGTGTAGGGTTCAAGGTTCGAGATAGTTTGCGGGTTGGCGCGTTCAGGGCTCGGGGTTGAAGGCTTGGGGTTTCAGACTTGGACACTGCCGGCAGAGCTCCAGATTCGCCAGTAGCTTCTGAATCATGAGGGCATCCTTTGTCCTACTTTTTGATTTGAACACGGAGACCCCAAAAGAGAAAGAGTGAAAAGTGTACTACTTGCAGACCCAGCGCTTGAAGTTTGGAGTTTTCAGTTTATGAATTTCCCAATATATGGGCCACATGGGGTTTTGGGACTCCGGGGGGGTTTAGGTAGCGGCTTGTTTGGGAGTCTTGGGTTAAGGTTTAAAGCTGTAAAAATGGAGCCGACGCCCCAAGCACTAAACCATGCAGGGCTTGTGATGTGAGGGGTTTTAAGGCTTTCAAGGATTCGGGTGTAGGGTCTACGGTTTCCCCAAAGCGCCCCTAAACCTAAATCTCAAAACAAGGCCCACGTGTCCGGCCTCTGCGACAGCCTGTGCATCCTCCATGGGTGGTGTGCCAGAAAGGCCTCTGGAGAGGACCGGCTAGCCCAAAGACTCCAATACCAGTTAATTGAGGAATATTGTGGATCCTACAGTAATTTAACGAATATACCCTTAAATCATATTATGGATCCTACAAGAATGTAAGGGATATGCCTTAAATCATCGTCATAGTATGGATCCTACTATAATTTTAAGGCATGTTTCTTAATGAGAAGGAATCTTGGAGTCTCTGGGGGCTTTCTTTTGGGACATCGAGCTTCGGGTTCCTTGAAGGGCTCCCTTGAGGGATCTATACAGGTTCTACAGAGGAAAAAGAAGCCAGCTAGGGTTTAGGGTTTAGGGCTGCCGGGCCGATTTGCCGAGGCATTCTCATGTCATTTACTTCAAACGTGCTCCTCGGCTTGTTTTCGGCATTCCCAACGGTGTCTGCCTTATATTTGACACTTTTGCTCAGCACCGTAATCGGTGAAGGCATGTAAACCAACTAGCGATGTCCTAAGTCATTGCGCGGTGCTCTCGAAAACAACAGCCAAAATATCAACTAGGGTCTAGGGTTCCGGGATTGGGGTTCGGTGTCCAAAATTCAGGGTTGAGGTTTGCAGCTTTGGGAGTGAGGCTGAGGGGCTTGGCGTGCCTCACGGTTCCAGGTTTAGCTGTTGCCGGGGCGTCAGACGTCTTCAAGGCTTTCTAGACCCTGGACCCTAAACCCTAAACCCTAAGCCCTAAACCCTAAACCCCAAACCCTAAACCCTAATCCCCAGACCCTAAACCCTAATCCCCAAACCCTAAACCGTACTGTGCAGCACGAGGATCCCCACTTGAAGTTCGCCTTGAGGCCTCTGAGCATCTCTCGCACTCGGTACTCCCAAGCCTTGGCTGATGGGAGCCCAAAAAGGGGGAGTTGAAGATTCTTGGGGAGGGTTAACGTTTAGGGTTTAGGGGTTTAGGGATTTAGGGTTTAGGGTTTAGGGTTTAGGGGTTTAGGGTTTAGGGGTTTAGGGTTTAGGGGTTTAGGGTTTAGGGGTTTAAGGTTTAGGGGTTTAGGGTTTAGGGGTTTAGGGTTTAGGGGTAGAGATTCCTTAATATGAACCCCATTATGGGAACCCTAATCCCTAAGCCTCCTATGAGCGGCGTCCCCTTGAGGGTACTGTAGGATTCTAGAATAGGGCCCCCTTGAAGGGTAGCGCAGGGATCTCTGACAAGGTTTCCTCAAGGGTTTGCTTCAAGGGCTTGATTAAAAGGTTCCGAACAAGTAGAGGGGCTTCGGCCTTATCGTGCTCGTGCTATTTGTGTTTCGGCATTTGGACTTGGGACTGCTACAGCTCTTGGTTGCAGGGTCGTAGGTTTACGGTTTAAGGGTTTAGGGGTGTAGGATTTTGGGCGTTGCTGATTTGGCACCTTTGGCTAGTTAGTTAGGGCTGTGATTAGGTTCAGGACGGGGGGGTGGGGCCGCAGGGTTTCCGGGATTAGGGTTCGAGGTTTCGACATTCGGTTTGTAGGTTCTGGGTTGGCGGTTTCGCGGGAGGAATGTATCTGAAACCATCTGGCCTGAATGCGCTAAGCCGCTAAATCCTAGACCCATATGACAAGAACCCCAACTGCACGTGACCCTCAACCCCTAAACTCTAGAGTCTCAACTCCTAGAAATTGAGCCCTACACCCCAACCCCAGAGACCCTGAACCCTAGACCGTCAATCTTGAATCCCTTACTTTCACTCCGGCACCTCACTTTCGTGGAACTCGTCCAGGATCACTCGGTGCCACAACATGTGCTCTAAGATTGCCGGCGACCTTTGATGTCAGAATGTAGATCCGTGGAGCCATTGTGGGGTCGTGTTGACAGGAACCCCAAACCACAAACCGCAAAACACTAAATCCTAAACCCTAACCCGTGCTTTGGTCTTCAGAGTCTCGACATCCCCTTAGTCTTGTCAGGAAACCAATAACGTTGAAACCAATACTTTGGGTACTGCCCCCCATACAGTAAGAGTCTATAATAGGGCTACTATTGGCGGCTACTATTGGCGTCCTAATATATCTACACTATGAATATTATTCAGCTATTACGGAGTGGGGGCCGTACCTAACCAACACTGGTTTCTTCTGTGGCCAGTGGTGATCCGTCAAACCTGCAACAAGAACGGAACACAGTAACACCAGACGGAGAGTCCAAAAGACAACCCATGTACGGTTTAGGGCGTAGGGTTATGCCGGTACGATGGAATATGGGCATAACGACAGCAGCAGCTTCGGTAGAATTGTGCAGGCAGGCTAAAGTCATAGCAGAACCACAGAACTCAGAACAGTCTTAGACCCTAAAACCCCACAGATCCCTTATCGAGGCCTGCAAGGAACCCTTTAGCAGGACCGAAAGCAAGTTGAGAAGATCCCAATAAGCTCTGGGCCGACGAACTACGACAGCGCCCCAAACCCTACTGAGCACTGCAATACATGGCCTGTGGTTGTCATAGACTTGGTTGTTTCGGGTTCAGGGCCTCCCGAAGCTGGGATCCGGCTTTGGCGATGGACAGTTTGGGGCCTGGCAATCGGAAAGTAACTCATCGTCACACAGCCTTTGTCTTTAACTGGCCCCTGGAGCAGCCTCAAGGCTAAACCCTAAACCCCAAAATTCCTAAACCCAAAAACCCAAAATCTCTAAACCCGAAAACCCCAAATCCCTGGCCAAAAGCCCTGAACCCTGAAACCCAAAATCCCTAAACCCTAAAACCCAAAAGCCCTAAACCCTCAACTACAAACTCTAGACGCCTGCATCACCCTGAAAGGGAACCCTATTCTAGAACCCTCTAGTATCTTTTAAAAGGAACATTAAACCCCTAAACCCACATAAACCCCTGAACCTAAACTGAATTCCCTGCAAGCCCTAGACCCTAACCTGTATCCCAAACCCCTCAAAATAGTAGGTTATGACCCCTTAATTAGAGGGTGTAACCCTCAAAACAGTAGGTTTTTGGGATCCCCAGGAACTCCCTCGACCCTAAACCCTACGCTCCTAATCCGAAAACCCTCACGGAGTCATACTGTTAATGATATAAATCCTGCATTACCTTAAGGACCCTAAGCTATAGGAATTACGGTATATTCCATATTATGGGTAAATGCAGGATTAATATCATCAACCGTATTACCCTCAACTGTAGACCCTAAACCTAACTTCCTAAACCGAATTCCCTCAAGGAGTCAAGGCCAAAAACCCTAAACCTCAGAGGAAACCCTAAACCCGCCTAAACCCCCAAGCCTAAACCGAGGGGCTTCTTCAGCAGACCGTCAAGGGTTGGTTTGCCCGAGCACGCCTTCCGCAAGACTTCCGGGAGGAGCTCCTTTGACGACAGGTTAAAGTCGAAGTGTTCCTTTAAGGTTCCTTTACAGTTCCTTTAAGGGATCTTGAAGGGTTCCTTTACACTTCCTTTAAGGAATCTTTAAGGGTTCCTTTGAAGGGGTTAGGCTTTTGGGGTTTGGGTTTCGGATCTCGGGTTCAGGCTTTAGGGGTTTAGGGTTTATGGTTTAGGGGTTACGGTTTAGGGTCCTTTTCGTGCTGCTTGCAGGTCTCCCCGTAAGCTGCCCCAAGTTTAGAGTCTAAGGCTCAGGCTTTTGCAGTGTGGGCCCCAGGTAGGGTTTAGAGTTAGGGTTTAGGGTTTAGGGGTGAGGGCTTAGGGTTTAGGGTTGAGAGGTTGAGGGATCGGATTTTGAATCTTTCTGGTGTGGCGGTGTTCGACTGCTCGCCTTGGAAAGCTCAACAAACCGGGTGTCCAGAGATCCCAATACCCCCTAAATCAAGGAATACACCTTTAACTATATGGGGCTTAATATGGGAGTTTCCGGAAGTAAGGGCACCTTATTTTGAGGTCCTTATAACAGGGATCCTACTATTTAGGGTCCCTTATTTTCGGAAATCACCATATCATGATTCACTAGAAATCCCAACACCCCTAAATTCAGGAATATACCTTAAACTATACTATAGGAGGCTCAATATGATGATCTAAGGTATATTCCTTAAGTAAGGGGTATTGGGATCTCAAGGTTTCGAGTCGACCCCCTAAACCGTCAATTTCAAGCCCAACCCAGCCCAAAACCAGGGTCGAGTCACAAAACTCCCCCCAAATTCAAGTACTTTCGGTCAAAACTTTCTTTCAAAACGTTTTTGGCACCCAAACCCTTAACAATTCCTATCAACCCTAAACCCTTAACCCTAAACCCTAAACCTTTAATTCCCACCCAGGCCTGCTTTGGCCGTACCCACCCTTTTTCTTAGGCTGCCTGGAAATGATTGACCCCATTTCTTGGAGCATTGGAAAATGGTCGAATTCAGCCCCTAGGTGGCGCCCCTATTTCCACAAAGAATTCCCTCGCTTCTCAAGAGATTAGAATACCCTAAACCCGACGATGAAACCCTTCGGTGGACATTTCCCTTCAGCCAGTAGATTCCAGAAATTCGGGCGGCTCCACACCCCCAAACCTGCACTCCCTGGACCTGGCCGCCCCCCTGCCCTTACAAGCCGCCGCTTCCCTGTTGTGGTTTGCTCTTCCCAAGGGCGCAGGACACCATCCAAGGGAGCAGGAAGCGACCAGGGCACAGGTGGGAATTGAGGGCGTAAGTCCTAAACCCCAAAAGGTAATATTTTGGGTGGTAGCCTGTGTAAGGTGACCGCGGATGGGAAAAGAAACAGAAACCAATTTGTAATTCTTTGGTGGTGGAATCGCATTCTAATGCTATACGTAGAAAAGCCGCCCCCCCACCCCTGGGAGTGCGGGATGCGCTAAACCCAAAACCCCAAACCCTAAATCCTAAACCCTAAACCCTCCACCACAACATCGAGCCTTGCAAGCGAAAACCCTGCACGCCGCGGGTTCCGGGAACCGCGCTCAGTCACCCCTCAACACTACCTGGGTCGGGCTCCTTCAAGGGTTTTTTGTAGAAGGTTCCTTAAAGGGATCTATATGGGGTTTAGGTTTAAGGTTTTGGGAATTCCTGGGGATCCCAAAACCTACCGTTTTCCGGGTTCTACCCTCCAATGAAGGACTATTTTGCAGGGTTTGGCATCGCAGGAATATCATGAGCTCCAAGCTCTAGATCGAAAAAACCCTAAACCAAAAGTTCAACACCCGAAATGGCGAACCTTGAAACCTGAGCTCCAAACACGAACATCCGAAGCCGAAAGCCCTAAAACCCGAAACCTTTAAACGACCCCTTAAAGGAACCCTAAACCCTGAACCTTTGCAGGAACGCCGGAACAGGACAGCCATGCTTCAATCTTCTCTTCCATCAGCTTCGAGCCATCTGGGCACAGGGTTGCTTCTAGAGGTCAGGCTGGAGGTGCTCTAGAGTTTAGGGCTTCAGGCTTCAGGGGTTTAGGGTTTAAGGGTTTAGGGTATCGGGGCTTTGCCTGCGGATCCCAAAACCAACGTTTCCGGGATTCTACCCTCTTAAGGGGCTGTATCCTACTATTTTGGATGGTTTGAGGTCACAGGTAGAGTCTAAGACTTCAGGGATTTAGCGCTTAGGGGTTTTAGACCTTTAGTTTTAGAGTTCACTGTTTTTTGGTATCGGTGTTGGCTGTTTTAGGGCTGTTGGGGCTGCTTCCTGCAATGATGGGATGTAGAATTCGGGGCTTCAGGGATCAAGGTCTACTAAAGATAGAATAGGGTTCCTTGAAAGGGGTCTATAAGGGTTACTATAAGGGATCCACAAGGGTGCTATGACACAGGTGCCATAGGGTTTGGGGGCCAATTATACTATAATAATTATCGTACGGAACCCCCAAAATAGTATTGGTAATCATTTAGGCCCCTACATTGCCCGCTGCTTTTGGGTTGTGGGTGGGTGGCTGAGTGGGTGCGGGGGGGGGGGTTGTTGGTGGGTGCGTGTGCCTTGAGACATAAACCGCAAGTCCCAAATCTAAACCCTGAACCCAAGCCCGTAACATAAATCCAAAACCTGTAAGCCAAAACCCAGAACTCCGAGCTGTAAGCTTGAAACCTAAAACCCAAACGCAAAATCTGAATGATGCATTAGCAGCCAAGCCACATCGACCACATCGACAGGCCTTCGTGATCATCCTAGGTTCCCGACTCAGCAAAGAATATGAAACTCCGTTTGCGGCTTCTCAAATCCAATAAGCCTTGAAATCTACAAAAGCACGAAACAAGCAAAACACCCACAACAATCCCCACACGACAAGGATAAAGGATACTGATGCTGCTGGGGAACCTACTAGAAACCCTTGTGGTGGACCGTCAAGTAACCTGTATAGTCATCCTTACAATCTCCCGTGCAACAAGCCTAAATCCTAAACCCTGTTCCCGAAAATTTAAATCCCCAAAGCATCCACCCGACCCCTAACCCAAAAGTTTTAAGCCCCGAAACCTCAAAACCCTTCTCGTAACAACTTCCCGAGGATCTCAGCGTAGGGCTGGCTGCCCTGAATGGCGGTGGAAGCCAGAACCTGCGTTTAGGGCTTTAGGGGCTGTAATCAAAAGAACAGGGTTTAGGGTTTCGGGTTTGGGATCAATTAATTGAAGGGGTTTAGCTTTAGGGTGTGTACACAGTTCCGGTGAGTGCGCTTCTTTACGAAGGGGGACTTATCGCGCGCTTGCATCAGCATGTTGTTCCGCCCCGTCCACTCCAACCTGTCGCGGCCTGTGCGGGCCGCTAGCAACGGTTTCTATCAAACAACCCGCCCTTCGCACCCTGTGAGGGTCATCTTTCAAGCCTTGCAGCGGCTCTAACGGGGCTATGGAGTCCCCTTCAAATTTTCTCCTAAGGCCGGTCTGGATTAAGGCTGGACCCTTGTAGTGAAATCCCGGACCCTAGCCCCCAAAGCCGAAACCCTCCCCTACAAAGCCCAGCCTTAGGGCCACCCCCTGAACCCTAAACCATACACCCCAAACCCTAAACCTCCTAGGAGCAAGGCCTAATGACCCTCTTTGGAGCCTTAGGGCGGGAGGCCAAAATTGGTGTTTTTTTCCGGGAGTTGTCGTCAGGACCCTGGAATCTCCCGGCTTGTGCCCCAGACCCCACTGCGATCAACCCCTAAAACCGTAAAACCTTTTAAACCCTACAACCCTAAACTCTATAAACCCTAAAACCCTAAACCCTCAACTAAACCCAAGACCCCAAACCCTAAACCCTAAAGAAAGGAATCTGCGCAAATACCTTTAAACGGCTGAAAAGGCCCCTTAAGAGTCAGCCCCTAATTGAGCCCTTCAAGGGCTCCGTGAAGCAAAATATCTAAGGAGGGGCTCCTTTGTGGAACCCGTTTCAGGGCTCCTTTAAGGGACCCCTGTTGCGGGGATTCCTTAATGAGTTCCTTAGGTCCCTCCTCTTTGTTTAGGGCTCCTCTCAAAACCGACGCCTTTCGGGGTTCCTTTTAAAGGACCCCCTTTCAGGGGTTCCTTGAAAGGCTCCTGTAAGGGACCGTTAAGAGTTCCGTGACGGAGGCGTAGGTTTCAGGATTCAGGGTTTAGCTTTCTTTCAAGAAACCCTTTACGGGTCTCTTCTGAAATTACTGCTGCTATTCCTGTAGTCTCACGCGGAGTAGGATGGCTTAGGAGCATCAATGAAGTTTGTGTTAAAGGTTCCTAAACCCTAAACCCCTCACCCTAAACCTTAAACCAGGGTTTACACCCTAAACCCTAAACCGCTAAACCCTAAACCCTAAACCTAAACCCCTAAACCCTTAAACCCTAAACCCTAAACCCTAGACACTAACCTAAATCCTAAACTAAGTGAGGGGTCGCTTCCGTCGAGCGACAGACCCCGAACGCTTGGCCGAGGGCGTCACAGCCCGAGCGCCCATACAGAAAGAGCGGGAAACGGATAGGTGAGGGTTAAGCCTCACCGGTCTGTCCTGGACAGGCCAACGAATGTGGCTTTGTTTACGACAACGTCAGTATTCAATGAAGGGCTGGCCATATCCAGACCACCCTTACGTTAGTAAAGTATAACCCCAAAGCCTCAATTTCCTCTGGAGGTCGCTCCGGTTTAGGATTTAAGATTCTAGTTTAGAGCAGCCACATGAAAAGAACTGCCTTGTTTTGCTGCAGATTTTTGGATTTTGGGGCTTAGGATTTAGGATTTAAGGTTTAGGATTTAGATTTTAGGATTTGAGGTTTAGGGTTTTAGGATTTAGGATTCAAGATTTAAGATTTTCGGATTTGGGATTTAGGATTCTACGATTTAGGATTCAGGGTTTAGGATTTGAGGATTTAGGGTTTAGGATTTTAAGATTCAGCAGCTCCGGTTCGAGCAGTTTCGAGTTCAGCTTCCAAGTTGGATCTGGCAGAATACCCACCCATAGAATCCCATAACATCAAGAAATACAAAGTTTTATCACTATCTTCAACTTATTTACTAAAGCTTCGAAGGTATTATCCTGAAGCTCACCCTAAAGCCAAAGCCCAAGCCCTAAACCCTAAAGCCCAAACCCTAGGTCCTAAACCCCAAAGCCCAAACCCTAGGCCCTAAACCCTAAAGCCCAAACCTCTAGGCCCTAAACCCTAAAGCCCAAACCCTAGGCCCTAAACCCTAAAGCCAAAACCCTAGGCCCTGAACCCTAAAGCCCAAACCCTAGTCCCTAAACCCTGAAGCCCAAGCCCTAGGCCCTAAACCCTAAAGCCCAAACCCGGTGTTCACTTCTGATTAGCACCGGTGTTCACTTATGGAATTGCACCGGCGTTCACTTTTATCAGGGTTTAGGTACCTTATGATATGAAAGTGAACACCGGTGCTAATACAAGTGAACCGCACCGGTGTTCACTTTGGATTAGCACCGGTGTTCACTTTTATTATGGTTTGAATACCATATGATGTCAGGGTGAACACCGGTGCTAATCCAAGTGAACAGCACGGGTGTTCACTTTGGATTAGCACCGGTGTTCACTTTTAATTATTATGGTTTAGATACCATATGATGTCAGGGTGAACACCGGTGCTAATCCAAGTGAACACCAGTGTGGTGTTCACAATGATTAGCACCGGTGTTCACTTGATTAGCCCCGGCGATCGCTTTCATTAGGATTTAAATTCATTATGATGTTAGGGTTTAGCGGAGTGTAAGGATTGGGAAACTGGCTAAGAGCAGCCACATGAAAGAAAGGAGGGAACCTCGAGATTGGCACTTGGAACAAGTTAAAATGCACATTTTATGCAAAGAAGTTGGTACACCAATATCAGCCACAGTTTTCAAGATTTCCGACAAGCGAAGCAGAGTTCAGGATTCTAGGATTTAGGATTTGGGGTTTTAGGATTCAAGATTTAGGACTTTAGGATTTAGGGCTTAGGATTTTAGGATTTGGGGTTTAGGATTCTAAGCTTTAGCGGAGTGTAAGGATTGGGAAGATGGCCAAGAGCAGCCACATGAAAAGAAAGGAGGAAACCTCGAGATTGGCACCTGGCCCAGTTTAAAATGCACGTTATATGAAAAGAATTTGATACGCCAAAATCTGCCACAGTTTTCCAAATTTCAGGAGAGCGAAGCAGAGTTTAGAGCAGCCACATGAAAAGAACGGCCCTGCTTTGCTGCAGAATGTGCCGAAATCCGAGGATTTTAGGATTTAGGGTTTTAGGATTTAGGATTTAAGGTTTAGGATTTTAGGATTTATGGCTTAGGATTTTAGGATTTAGCTGAGTGCAAGGATTGGGAAGATGGCGAAAAGCAGCCACATGAAAAGAAAGGAGGAAACCTCGAGACTGTCACCTAGCCCAGATTAAAATGCACATTTTCTGAAAAGACTTTGATATGCCAAAATCTGCCACAGTTTTCCAAATTTCAGGAGAGCGAAGCAGAGTGTAGGATTTTAGGATTTAGGATTCAGGATTTATGGATTTAGGATTTGGGGTTTAGGATTTTAGGCTTTTTAGCGGAGTGTAAGGATTGGGAAGATGGCTGAGAGCAGCCACATGAAAAGAAAGGAGGAAACCTCGAGATTGGCACCTGGCCCAGTTTAAAATGCACATTATATAAAAAGAACTTGGCACGCCAAACTCAGCCACAGTTTTCCAAATTTCAGGAGAGCGAAGCAGAGTTTAGAGCAGCCACATGAAAGGAACTGCCCTGTTTTGCTGCAGAATGTGCCGAAATCCGAGGATTTTAGGATTTAGGGGTTTAGGATTTAGGATTTAAGGTCTAGGGTTTAAATTTTAGGATTGAGGGTTTAGGACTGTAGGGTTCTAGGATTTAGGATTTAATGTTTAGGATTTAGATTTTAGGATTTGAGGTTTTAGGATTTTAGGGTTTTAGGATTTAGGATTCAAGATTTAGGATTTTGGGATATAGGATTTTAGGATTTAAGGTCTAGGATTTTAAAATTCTAGAATTTAGGATTTTAGGATTTTAAGATTTAGGGTCTAGGATTCAGGGTTTAGGATTCAGGATTTTAGGATTTAGGATTTTCGGATTTAAGCTTCAAGGCTTTACGGCCCCGGACGCACCAGGACACCCCCGGACACCCCTAGAGGCCACGCTAAATCCGAAACCGGAGGGCCGAGCAGGCCCTGCCCTGCCGGAGGCCCGACAAGGGCCGAGGCTACCCACAGCCGCAGCGCAAACCTGAACCTACTTGAATTCATCATGTCCCACGGCATTCCAAGTGCTTAGCACGTCCAAGAACCAAATATGTGAGTAGATATAACATCACGTAAAAGTAGAAATCATGCAGAAGAAGATGAGCCAAGAAACCCTAAACCCTAATAGAGTATAGTTTGGGTGGCCGGGGTGGGATTACTAGCAACGCGAGCGCGCGGCCCGGGGTGTTTCACACCGTAGCGCGCGCCCTCGCCTGACACACCCTAAACCCGAAAGCCTGAACCAAAGATGCCATAAGGGTTTCAACTACTGGAGCCCAGGAAGTTAGAGTAGGGTTGCGCGCTATGTTCTACTATAGGACACCACGTAGGTGGTTGTCAAAATGAGGATCCCTTTTTGGGTACCCTAAATATTAGGTGCCGTATTATATTAAGGATCCAAAAAGGCACCATAGTTTTGACAACCACCCACGTATACAGCGACTTTAGTATTTAGGGAGCATTATTGCTAATTACACCCTGAAGGCATTGAAAAAGGAGTTGGGGAGTTGTTAGCAGGGTGCCAGAAAACCAAGAATGTGCAAAGCAGTCAGACCGCAATATCGAAACCCTGAAACCTAAACCACACACCCAAACTCTAAACCTTGAACCCTACAACCCTATACTAAACCTACAGCAGGGCCCTAAACCCTAAACCTTTGAAGGAACCCTTAAACCCTAAGCCCAGCAGCCAGGTGGAAGTCCAAGAAATCCCCCTGCTTCAGCCTCCTCATTTCCTGGGTTCTTGTTCATGAAAATGAGGTTAGATTCTAGGGAATTTATGGTTTCGGGTTTAGAGCTTAGGACCTAGATGTCACGAAATTTCGGTGTTGGGTTCACCCTTCAATTAAGGCTTAAAGTTTAGGGTTACAAGAAATCGAAAATCACATTATTTACAATAGACCCCCATTGTGCCAACTCTGCGATATTACCATTACTTTAATCTTGCGATCATACTATAATGATGATGTAATGTTTTATGATTCTAAGTTCTTGAACAAGAACCCAGTTGCTGAGACGTGCCTGATGACCAAGACCTTCAACACATTCCTGGGCTGTTCCAAAACTTAGGGTTAAGGGTTTAGGGCTTAGGGGTTTAGGGTTTAGGGGTTCAGGGTTGAGGAGTTTAGGGCTTAAGGTTTAGAGGTTTACGGTTTAGGATGGCTGGGGGTTTGCTTTTGTTCAGTCTTAAACTATGTTCTACAAAACCATACTATGTTATGCTATGTTGTACTATACGTATTTTACTCTACTCTACTGAACTATACTACGACCGCTATGCTAAACTTTGCAATACTCTGCTATAGCATGCTATACCATGCTCAAACCTACAAGTAACCAAAGCTCAAGAACGGCCAAGGCTCGATGAAGTGCGTTTACTGGGTTTTCCCACAACATGCGTTGCGCCCTCGGAATTACACGGCGGTCGCTTCAGCGTCAACATCGCCTTGGACTTCGGCGTGATCTGGCCCTCGGCCATGCGCAGCGGCCTCCGCAAGGGAAAGAGTCGTGGCTGGCTAGATTTCCCACCTTGGCTGTTCAGGTACCCGCTGGGAGACAAAGCGCACGCTGTTGAGGGTTAGCTGAGTATGTTGTAGTGGAAACCCAGAAACATAAAAAAAATCCTCAACAGTATAAAACGTCAACCTCCTTGCCACCTAAAATATACCATTACAACAAACCTAGAAACAACACTTTGCAAAAAAACAAAACTGAAGCTCCTAGCCACCGATCGGGTTTCGGTGACGCTCAGAAACATAGCATCGGATCTCCCCGCGTAAGCAGCGCTGAATCTGGGAGACGTCTTTCGCTGACATGGTAAAAGGCGTTCCTGGGTCGCTGCTAAAGAGTCTCAGTTAAGCTAATATACGGGTTATCGTGTATGGTCTAGGGTCTAGGATTTAGGGTCCAGGGTGTAGGGTCCAGGGTTTAGGGTTTGATATAGGCACCTACATAATGGATAGCAGTATCCCACTGCAGTCCTCATCTTACGTAATTACAGTGGAATGTAACCCAAAACCGTCTTCAAATAGTTGGGCACTAGTACATTACGGAGATGTCACTATCTAATATATAAGCCCGACACCCTCCACCCTAAAATCTGAACCCAATCTATGCCTTGCAGCCCTGCGACAAGGTTTCTGCAGGGCCTGTGCAAGTCTTAGAAACCCTATAAACCACTCGAAACTCCTCTAATCTTACAAGCCTTGTGAAACTCTGTAAACTACCCTGCAACCCGATACAGAAAACTCAAGAAGCAAGTTAAGAAAAATGTAAACAGCATTTTCTTGCTCTGAAGACTGAGCTAGCTAGTTCTCCAAATAAGGTTCCGTTTCTAAGTCCCCCACAGAGTACGGCACCCTTTAAGAAGGGCCCTCAACAGAACCCAGAGAACTTCCCTAAACCCTATACCCTAATCCCTAAACCCTAAACCCTAGTGCATCCCTACCCTAGATGAGCCGCCATCCGGCTTCTTCAAGCCGGTGCAGCGCAGCTTCTCGATCAGATCGCCGGCCTTGCTTTGGGTTTAGGGTTTAGGGGTGTTGGTTTCGTGAACTTGTCTACAAATCTCACCAGCATCTTTGTAATTTTAAGGTCTTGGCGGAAGTGTGTACAAAATTTACAGCATCTTTAAGAGGTCTTAGAGGAATGAAAACGGTTTGAGACCGCTATCAGAAACCCTAACACCTGAAACCAAAGAAGCCCATGCACTCCGAACCTCCAAGGCGACTGCAGGGCCCCGATTGAAATAATAATTTCAATGGGGTTTGCGGTATTTCAAACTATAAGTATAATAAGGAATTTAAACCGCCGCCCTCTCAAAAACAGCATCATCAAAAACTTCGTATGTATAGTTACCAAGTGATACCTGCCAATGGCATTCTTCAGGATGGCTATTGGGAGAATAGCACAATATACCCACCTCATACCCTATTTCGAGTTCCTCATAACCCCGATATTGTAAATAGAGGAGTGAATAGTTCTTGTCAATTGTATGCCTTAGGGCTCGCTGTGTTTATAGGGTTTCAGTGAGATTAGACGTCAGAAATTTTGCGCACTGGAATCTTGTCATGTTCCTGCTGCAGCTGCTCCTGCTACTCCTACTCCTATTCCAGCCCAACTCCAACTCCTCCTCCTCCTCAGCCTACTGCTACTGCTACTGCTACTGCTACTGCTACTGCTACTGCTACCCAAGTTGTCCTAGGCTTCAGTTGTGTTCATGGATTTGACAAGAATTTCCAACTGGCTTTGGGCATGTCTGATTTTTCTGATCGGCCGGCAGACGCTACAGACGCGTCCATATGGATTGCAAACCACAACAAGATTCCGGTGGAGCTCGAAGCTTTATACGCTCGAGAGCTTTTCGCACGACAGTCACAACGAGATCACTTCCATTCCATGCTTGGACAGCTCCTACTGCAGAGTGCTGGAGGTTACATTTCCAATATCGATAGCTCGTACCAATTTGACAGAGAAAGTAGAACTCGGCATCCGGGGCATAGCCTCACCACTGCCCGAATTTCTGCACACCCTCCCGACGAGATCGCTTTGTGGAATTGGGTTGGACTGCACTATCCGGCGTGGCTGGAACATCTGTGGCCGGGCGGCCGACCTCGCCCACACACGGAGGACACAGCAGTGGCTAGATGGCTCAAACCTCCGGCCCTTGAGCTGGACCTCCATGCCATGGACTGACACAGGCAGCAAGTCGATTCAACATAAGCCTCTTCCCCAGCTAACATGCGCAGGTAAGCTTTATCGACGCTGGAGATTCAGGTTCACGTCCAGGTACAACGGCTGCAGACACAGCCGAGCTCGAAGGCGCAAGCAAACGGCACGTTGTCATACTATCAGTGCCAGGTTGCTGGCAGCTTTGGCAACATGCGCTCAGACTGCTACGTGCCCCTTGCTGCGTACACTCGCTAGAGAACATGTACTTGACCACATAGTGCAAAGGTTGTTCTTCATAGGGCACTCGATGAGCACTTGTGCATACGTCGGGCTGGCTCGCAGCGGACTTTTGCTCACGGCATCAAGAGGCCACAGTGTGACGAGAGAACATAGAGGGCGCACGATGCGAGCACCAAGCTCGGAAGATGAGATGGTCGAAGTCCCAGTCGAGTCCGACAATGAGCCGGATGCCCTGCCCACCGAGCCGCGCAACGGCCCACCGCCTCCGAGGGCGATGCTCTCGGACAGGCTGTCAGTCGAGATTGCTCAGACACTGGGGTTCGCAGGCAACATCGCCACCTTCATGCGACCGGGAGTCTACCAGGCAAAATCTTTGACTGTGGAGATTCGGCCCATGGCACCCAACGAGGCTCTGAGCCATCATGTTGTGCAAATTCGCGACTCTCCCGAAGACAAGCTACCTATGAGCATGGAAGATGTCGACCGAGCCAGCACAGCGGCCATGGCCAGAGCTGCCACCACAGAAATTGCAGCTGACATGGTTGCCAACATGAACACCACGGGAAGGAACATGCTCACATCCGATGAGGCACAGCTTATGGGTGACCTTCTACGAGCTGAAGGAGCAGACGACCTTGACTCAGTACCCGGATGGGACACTGAAGATGCTCGTGAGCCCACGCCGAAGCCGAAGTCCAGACCTCCATCGACACCCGGACGTGACACCAAAAGGTGGGGCCCTCTGGATGCAGCGCTGCTGGTATCTAGCATGTTTCTTTTTCTGTTGTACACTTGGAACCACAGTTATCGCCCTCGGTCAGGCGACGAAGCATGGAGTGAAAGCGTAGGTAGGTCACAGGACAGAGCGAAAATACTCAGCATCGAGCGCTGTATCCGGCTTCTGCTTGTGCACAAAACGGTGACTTCGCGACTCACGGCATGCTGGATGACAACCTGCACGTATGTGACCATGCTGTTGAGCTCTATGTGGGCCAGGTACGGAACGACCTGTCCCGCTTCAACACAGACCAGCTCCAGTTGCAGTTTCAGGCGACAATCTCTTGAGCAGAATAGCTACCAGATACAGTACTTCACGAAATTCCACCCGCTCTTTGTCAGGTACCAAGCAATCCCGGAGTACACCCACATGATTCCGAACCAGGTGGGTGGCTACACTTCACTTGCGCCAGGAACAAGTCTGTTGTTCCGATCAGGAACGTCACAACGGCAGCTTGGCCGGACCGGTCCCAATTCCGGTCGTCACCTCAGCAGGCCCGGAGTCCGAGCACACTCATTGTTGCTACTTCTATGGCTCTGTACATGCGGTCTCTCCACAGCTGCTGGGGTGATAGATGCGAGGGTTGATGTTGTTTCCGTCGCAACATCTGAAGCTACTGTTGCTGCTTCGGTAACATCAGTGGTGAAGCCGAACGGATCGCGGTGGGCCAGCGCGCCCCAGACCGGACAACCATTTGTTCACAGATGCCTTAAGCGCTCATATCAACGAGCCTACAAGAGAGCATGCAAAGAAGGCGGCTCGTTTTATCGGGGCACTTGGAGACCACTCACATGGTATGAAAAGCCCAACATACGCACACAGCAGCTTCGATTCAAAACACCGTCGCAGACAACATGCACTCATTGGAAAGTGATCAGCTGGAATACGTCGGGGCTTACTACAGCCACCTTCCAGGAAATCGAAACATATGCTCGTTCGGAAAGGGCGGATGTCATGCTATTGCAAGAAACCAAATGGACATTCGAAGCAACATGGAGCACCAGGGATTTTCACTACGTGCACTCCCCAGGTGTTGGCAAACAAGACAGACTTGCAGGCCTCTTGATCATGATTTCCACGCGGCATGTCAAACCAGAGCAAATACAGTATTGTGCACACCACGCTGGACGGCTACTACATCTGCGAATCCCACACGGACGTATTCATGTCGACATCGTGAACTGGTACCAGTACGCCATTAATCAGCAGGAGGGCACCTTCGCTAGACGGCAGCAGTTACTGGCTAAACTCCAACGATGTATTGCACAATTTCCCCGACGCAATGCCCTCATTCTTGGGGGGGACTACAATTGCCCATGTGAGCAACACGCACACGTATGTGGCTCGGCCATCATACCGCCCAATCCGCTTTACTACATAGACAGCCACGATCATCAACAGGTTTGGCGAACTCTGAACCTCACGGCTCTCAACACATGGTGCTACCCTCAGCACGGCCAGCTCGCCACCTTTGTGATCGAAAACGTGGATCATCAGCCAAGCTCGCAGATTGACTTCATCATGATCAGGTCCCACCACAGCACCAACCTCTCCAAAAAGGCGAGCGTTATCGAGGATTTTCCTGTGGCGGCATGGCGCGGAGGTTCCAAGCACTACCCTGTACAAGCTGAGGTTCCACTTCCGCGACCACAATGGACAACCAGGCCAGCTACAGACAAGCCCATACGTATAGATCAAGACCGTCTTATTCAGGATATGCAGGGCTCCGAACCCTCTCCAGCCCTACAAGCACTTCGTGACGAGGTGCAACTCCAGATGAATCTCCCGCTTGATGCCTACAATGATGTCCTTGTTCAGGCAGCACAACGACACTATCCTCTACCACAATCACCCGCAGAGCCACCCACGCAACCGGAGGCCATCGCCAATTGTGCTCAGGAAATGTGGCGGCTTTTTCGATTGATGCGAGCCCAAAGGTACACCGCCAACGGCATTCTCACAGCTTGGAGAACCTGGACTCAGTACATGCAGGCACACCGCATTCACAAGGCCAGATCCAAGCAGAGATCCAAGCAAAGGAAAGCTGACCTACTTGAACAGGCTCAGCAGGCAGCAGCTCGCAAAGACGCTCGCGCGCTCTATCAGGTCATCAAACAGCTGGCTCCACGCACTCCTAGAAAACGCTTGCAGCTTTACCGGGAAGGACACATGATCTCGGTCGACGACGAAATGGAATGGATCCTTCAGGCCTACGGGGAAAGATACGGGGAACACATGGACTCCATTGAGACTACATTCCTTTTCCCAGAGCATCATGGTGTCATGCTTGCAGCACAGGACATAGCCTACTATCTTCAGAAGTTAAAGCCTCGGAAAGCCGTGCCCAGGGGAACAGCTCCAGCCATTGTCTGGAAGGCATGTGGCCCTGTCATAGCTGAGCCAGTTGCTCACCACTTGAACATAGCTTGGAGTGGCAATCGGCCTCAGGTCATCCAACGCTGGGCCGACGCGGACGTGGCCTTACTGCCCAAGCCTCATGGAAAGACTGGCTCACCACTGGACTGGCGTCCCATTGGGGTGCAGGATCCATTGGGAAAATGCGTCATGAGCGCCCTCATAGGTCAAGCCAGGCAGGAGATCGTGCAACTAATACGGCGATACCCTCAAAGTGCATATCTACAAGGACGGTCTACCTCTACGGCTCTCCGACAGGTATATGCCCACTGTCACGCTGTACGCGATCATTGTTCAAAGGCACGACTCAATGTACATCAAAAACATGCTGGTCTCATACCCACCGTAGGCAGTGGCGGACTTCAACTCAGCCTCGATCTTAGTGCAGCGTTCGATTTAATCCATTGGGAAGACATCAAGCAGGCACTACATTACGCAGGCGTCAACATTGCCATCCAGGACATTCTCCTTACTTGGCTCAGCCAAGTCCGCTACCAATTTCGCCACAAGAACCTGAAAGGACACGTGAAGCCCAAATGGGGATTGAGGCAAGGATGTACCGGATCTCCTATACTGTGGGCTGCTCTAACAGCTCTTCTTTGTGCAACCATAGAAGAACACACCCGAGCAGGCTGGACCAAAGATCACCTGGTGCTGTACGCGGACGACAGTCACCTTCGCTGGCAATTCTTCACAGGCGCCGACTTTGAACGCATTATGAATGAGCTACGTCAAGTCTTCATCTGCTTCAGGAAGTTCCATCTACGCATCAACATGGACAAAACGAAGGCCATTCTCAAAATTGTGGGACACATGAAGCATAACATTCGCAAGCACTACATCAGACACCATCTCAACACCAAACGACTTCTTCTTATGCCAGGCGATCCCACACAGTGGCTGCCACTGGTGCAGCAGGCCGAGTACTTGGGGCTTATCATCTCGTACGATGGCTTTGAGCAACAATCATTACGCCATCGCTTGCAAAAGGCACATGGACGCAGATGGGCACTGGCCTCGATATTACACTCGCCCAAGGTCCGGATCTCTTACAAGCTGAGTGTATGGCATTGCTGCGTGTACACTACCATGACTTACGGACTGGCGACCTGTGGACTCACCTGCAAACAGGTTGAAGAAATGCAACGAGCCATCATGAAGCACACCCGCGCCATTGTCAACAATCAGGCTCACCTCACGGGAGATTCCCACGAGACGATCATCGAGAAGTATCATCTACCCAGGGCCATTTTGGATCTCCAACGAGAACTGGACCGCGCAGCCAGCACCCAAGACCAACAGGCAGATTGGATGTATGATCCACACTGGCAGCAGCACCTTGTCAACAGGCTCCAGCCGGATCTTCACGCTGATCACTGCGAGTACACGGCTGATGGTACCGAAGCTGTCGAAGTGAAGTCTGTAGAGAAATACCAATGGGCATGCCCCTTCTGCACCGAGCTTTTCCCTACACAAGCAGCCCTCAAGATACATGCCAGACGAACACATCATCACACAGATGAGGACAAAATCCCCTTCAACAAGTCCATGCACTCTATTGGGGGACTGCCAACCTGTCGTTTCTGCTCCAAAAAATTCAGTAGATGGCAGACATTGGAACAGCACATCAGTGCCAACAGATGCACGAAATATCGACACAACGATGTACAAAGCAATCAACACTCCCACAAAGCCTCACAGCCTACATTCAATCACATGCCAACACCACCACCACCACCACCACCACCACCACCACCACCAGCACCAACACAATCACCACAGCCTCTCCCAGAGCCCAACTCCAATGTCATTCAGACCACTGACATTCAGACAATAGCGACACAGGACACTCAGACGCTTGCGGACACACCTGCAGTCGAGCTGTTATGCCAAAGACCGGAAGTGGTTGCAGCAGCATGTCAGGGACTCAACGCGTTCATTCAACTCCCTGAAATCACGCAGAGGCTCAGACAAACATGCGGGCTATGTGGACAATGGATTGCATCACATCGTACCATGAAGCGACACTACCAGTACAGTCATTCGGACATTCTGAGTACATTTGGCAACCGCATCCAAAGCCTCATACACCGCTCGGCCACATCGTGCTCCACGTGTCACTTTTGTCATGCTCGGTGCCAGGCCTGGCGCGAGCACACATTCAAGTGCACTGTAATCTGGCAGTGCGCCATTATGTGCCTTCTACGACAGGAGAAACAACCAGGACTCGGAGCTAGCGGAGTTCTTCGGAGCAGTGCGGCAGGAGGGCCAACAGGGCCAGCAGGGACAGCAGGGACAGCAATCCTCGAAGAGACGTCGGCCACAATGGGGTCAAAGGGACACCAGGGACACCAAGGACTACTTCGACCTTCCAGCTCGCGAGCCACCATCCTTGATTGTTTCGCTCGCTCGTCAGGTGATTCGGCAGGAGGAAGAGATCAAAGTGCTCAAACAGGATCATGCACTGGTAGTCTTTATGCGCCCAGGCGACCACAATCTCCTCAGCCACCTATATCAGGTGGCCAGGGCCTTCCAACGCAAACAGGAGGAAAACCCAGCGTGGGCACCAGGGCAAAAACCTCTCAAGGTCGTGATGGCAGTGGGAATGTTCACCGAGCTCTTAGCCCGACTCGAAAGAATCGGACAGGACGAACCATTCGCTCAGAAAATCAAGGACTTGGGATGGAGGGATCCAGCCATTGGATGGAAATTCCAACAATGGAACCCGGTGATGAAATGCCTAGAGGAAGACAAGGCCAGATCCCCTCTCACGGACCAGGCAGTTCAGCAGCACCTCCAGAAGCTTATCCAATTGATGGCGATTCCGGACCTTGTCCACAGATTTCAATGTACAAGACGAATGGCAGAAACAATGGATTCCCCAGCAACCTTCAAACTCGATCTCTCAACTCGCACCCCGCAAAGCATCGAGGCATGGGACTCACTTCTAGCCCTGCAGGGATCCACGGTGCTGCAACTCGGGGGAGTGGCCTACAAGCGGGAGAGCTTCAAGCCCAGTCCAGCTATCCAGAAGATCAAAGCAATGCTGCAAGGGCACTGAGGCTCATCCTCCACAATAGGGGACACAATGCCTGCTATATGAACACAGTGGTACAGGTTCTTCAATGGCTCATCGACCTCGACAACACACGGCTTGAGACCATGGGCACAGGACGGCACTTCTTCTCGGCTTTGCAAAGATTCTCATTTACATCCGACAAAACACTCATGCAGGATATGCTGTGGAGAGCAGTGGTATCGGGATGGGCCGATTGTCACAGGCAACATGATGTCGCAGAGTTCATAGCCTTTGTCTTCCAGCGTAGACACCTATCGCTTTGTCAGGGGCAGTGGCAAGCTCGGCGACGCGACGGGGAGATTCGCGACACGGGGCTATGTACTCAGCCTCTCATCCTTCGATTTCCAGTTAAACCTCCCGGCTTGGACCCATGTCTACAGGTACAGTCGCTGATCGACTATTGGTCAGGAGCACAAGATGATGTTCACGCCATCTCAGAGGCGCCCTCCATCCTGATGCTCCAGCTTGATCGCTTCGCTGTCATAAATGGACACATACGCAAGTGCAGGGATCCGGTGATTGCTGATCGGCTACTGGTGGTTCCCATTTTCACAGGAGCCGGATTACACGTTCATACAACTCAGTACCGCCTCACTGCAATCATTCAGCATCATGGCCCACATCCCAAAGCTGGGCACTACACTTGCTGCTTGTTCCGAGGAGACTTCATCTGGAGCTGTGACGACAATCGCCGTGCTAGACAGCTGAATGTTACGCCTCGAACTTGTGTCACTGACAGTTATGTTTTATTTTATGAACAAAGGCATACCTAGGCGGTGTCATGCTCAGGCCTCCAGAGGCGGTGACATCATTGTGAACAAAGAACGTTCTAGCGAGGCAGCACAGACTGCGTGCCATCCGGCGCCGGGCGAGAACTCGTCTGCTCTACTTTTATCCGCCGCTAGGCGGTCACCGAGACCGCTGCGCACAAAGGCTACAAAGGCTGCTACTGCTACTGCTACTACTGCTACGTCTACTGGTGTCACGCCGGCAGAACCGATTCGAACCATGTAAACCCACATGGAAAAACTCTACTAAACGGCACAAAACCCTGCAAAACCACTAACCAAAAAAAGCAAGAAGAACCTATTGACATGTCGGCGCGTGGCATCCCATCATCCCTAAACCCCGAACCTTAAACCCTGTGCGATCACCAACCCGAAACCCTAAAATCTGTAGGGTCGCGGGCCTTTGGTGCTTGGTCCCCCAGGTGTTTCTTCGTCTTTGGACCGACCTTTTGGACCTCGGCGGTGACGGTAAAAGTCCTAAATCCCTTTAAATTAAGGAATACTAGGATACCCAGTAACCTAAGAATAAAAAGGCCTCTCTTTTTGGTATTGGGTAACTTTATAAGGAACCTAGGACTACAAAAGGGAATAAGGGTACTACTGGGCATCCTAGTAGTTTAAATCACAAGATCAAGAGGGGTTTAGGGGAGTAAGGTTTAGGGTTCGGAGGCTTAGGGTTGAAAGGGTTCAGGCTTCGGGATAGACCTTAAACCTTAATACTAAGGCCCCCATAACTTAAGGTATACTCCTGAGTGAAGGGGTATTGGGCTTTCTGGGTGATGGTTAAAGCCCAAACACGTCAGGCATTTCAACAAATGAATCCATGAGGTTTAGGGATTTGAGCAGGTTCGCGGTTCCAGGTTGGGGCTTCGAAAAGCAAAGTTCAAAGACAAAACTGCACGTGCGCTGAGGGTTTAGGGCATTTAGGGTTTTGGACTGGCTTAGGGCTTAAGATTTCCGATTTCAAGTTTCGGGTTGGATGAGAGGCGAGTCGGACGCGCGATTCGAGAACAGGCGGGGGGGGCGGCAAGTCAGGAACGAGAACGAGCAGGAGTCAGGAATGGCACGAGGTGGAATCGGCCAGAACGCGATGGCGCAGTCAGGAACAACCCTAAACCCTATACCCGACTCGCGCGGGGGGCCATTCCCGACTAATCTCCTGGACCTGCTTGACTGGGCGTTTGCCTGTTCCGGACTCTCCCGTTCCGGACTCACTGGGGGCGAGCCTGACTCGACTAACTCTCGGGGTAACCCTAAACCCTAAGCCGCTCAAGGCTTACCTTGACCCACCAGAACCCACTTTTTGTAGGATCCCTATAATTTCCATATTAGAGTTTACAATAGAAGCCTACAGAAAAGTCGGTTTTGGTAGGTTAAGGTGGGGGCCTCAATAATTAGAACAGGGGTTGGGGGCCCGATATATTATAATTAGATTCAGTAACCCCCAAGATGGTATAGGTAATTCTCAAGGCCCCTAATATTTAAATCTTCATATAGCCTTTATAATAATCCTTATATATAAACCCCTCTAAAAATTTAGGCCCGTATACCATAGAACCCTACCCTTATAAACCCCTTTGAGGAACCCCAAAAATCGTACAGGTCATTTAAGCCCCTACAGTAACTAACTACGTGAGTTTCGGGTGTCCGAGCCTCGGCGGTGAGTGAGCCTCGCCACCTCGAATCCGTCCTGAGGCTGTGAGGGTTTTAGGGAAAACCCCTAACCCTAGACCCGAAACCCTAAACCTACCTTCATCACCTACCTTCATCCCACCCTTTGCAAGGTTGGGGGATAACTTAGCGCAACCGCCTTCTAAATATAGGGGCCTGAATGATTAGAAGAGGGTTTGGGGGCCCATTTTGCAATAATTTTTAATAAGGAGCCCACAAGATAGTATAGGTAATTATTAACGCCCCTAAATTTAAATCCTCATTGTAGCCCTTGTAGTAATCCTTTAGAACCCTCGAAAATATTTTAGTCCCTATACCATCGAACCCTACTATAGACCCCTTATCGACCCCTTTTGGGAGCCCTTGAAAGGAACCCCCAAGATAGTATAGGTAAGTATTAAGGCCCCTATATCATAGTACCCTTGCAGATCCCTGAGAGTAACCCTTACCCTAAGGCTCAAAATGGCCCGAAAGCCTTACATAATATGGTCTTTAGGCCCCAAAGCTTCAAAATATGAGTCCTTAGAGCCTTAGGGTTATAGATCCCTTTAAAGGAACCTATATTAAACGCCTTAACAGTCAGCCCCCTGGAGCCTCAAAGGGTCCACCCTTTGAGCCCCCTACGCCCATAATTCCCAGGCCCCCATCACACCCTTCCCAGACCCTAAACCCTAAATCCTAGGGCTTCTTAGGGTTGAGGGCTTAGGGTTTAGGGCTTAGGGTTTAGGGCTTAGGTAGGGTTTAAGGCTTGGGTTTAGGGCTTAGGGTTTCGGGCTTAGGTAGGGTTTAAGGCTTGGGTTTAGGGCTTAGGGTTTAGGGCTTAGGGTTTAAACCCTACACCCTTATAGTTGTTGTAAACCACTGCACACACGCACTGTTGTATATACCCGTCCAAGTGATAACAGCACGGCTTGTACCATTCGGTAACTACACCTTTTTACTGCCAGAGCACTTGTGCCACAACGTCACCACACAACATGCTACTTCACACGTGCACAAATTACACCCCCCCTCGCCGAAGCGTCAGTCTGAGGCGCAAACATGCACGGAAGCTTGGTGCTGTGTGGCCTGCCGTAAAGGCGGCTGGATTGTGGCTCGGGGCTCATAGGCTTTCTACTACCGTAAAGCGGAAGATACGGAAGCAGATTAATTCTTTTAGCGCGCAGTTTAAAGTCGCGACATGCATTATAAAGTGGCGACGATCCAGCAAGCCTTGAATGTTGGCGTGGATACGAGTCGCAAGAACGTGTGCAGCGTGGGACGAATACATCATCCACTGGAGCTGCTGGCTGTTCGGATTTGTCACAAAGTGACTGCCAGGAAATGAAGCATGAAATTTTTCTGGTCTTAAGGAAATTCGGCCACCTCTAAGAGGGGCTGTATTTCGGAGTACCGGTTAACGTGACGGAACCACGAAATGTCGATCAGGTACTTAGTACCATCCTCGGGAACCGGAGGAGCGGCCATAGGGGTGGGACCCGCGTTGATAGCCTTGGTCCCACTGCTGCTGATAGCGCTGCTGCTCAGCTCGGCGTGCATCGGCCTTTGCTTGTGCGATGCGAGAACGCTCCGCATTGCGTTGGCGTTCTTCATATGCACGGCGTGCAATTCCGACCTGTTCCGCGAATTTCCCACGGAGCCACTCAGTCCAGTCCTCAGCAGAATAGCCGAGTCGTGGATCAACGTAGAGTGCCTCTTCTGAGAAAGTAACAATCATCTTCACGATTTTGTGCTGGAGGAAAACATCTACGAATTTACGCAAACTGTATGCCCCTCCCAGCCACATGATGCAAAACGGATCGTCACTCACTGCGGAGATCAGGCCTGCCCTAAGGGCGGCTGGATTGCACTCGTGCAAATAGAGCAACCGAGCAATCTCCTGGTTCCTCGGCCCTTCGGAGCTTCCACCATAGGTGCCGACAGCTAACTGTCGTTGCTCCTTCGAACGGCCATGGTTCGGCAGTGCAGCATGCGTAAGCACGTCTTCGATGGCCAGAAACTCTCGATCGTACCCATTGCCGATGGAACTCATGGTGTAGTCCACATCATTATCGAAGCGGTGTACGATGCTTGTGTAGCCTCCTTTCGTAGCCATCTTCAACTGCTGCCTGGCCTTATCCAATGCTTCTGCGTCAAGTGACGTCGTTCCGCGCTGTGTCGAGGAGTCTCTGGTCATTTCATGGATGACCTCCTCCGGCGTCAGCTGGGAACGTGGCTTGCCCGCAGTGGCAGCGACGGCCTCTTCAGCGAACCAACGAGCTGTACGCACTTTCTTGCGTGCGTTCTGCTGGGAAGGCTTCACGATGTGCACGCCACAGTGGAGACAGATCATCTGTCCCACGAGATGCTGCGTCCCACAGTGGGGACAGGCTCTGTGGCGGCCACCCGTAACGGGGGCTGGAGGGAGCGCCAATGGTGTCGACTCCGGTTGCGGCGGTGCCTGCTCATACATCGGCTCGACTTTGGCCTCTTCTTCCTCCTTTTTCACGTCGCCTTCCTCTGGCTCGATCTCAATGTCGATCTCGACTGGTTCCTCCGGCTCGAGGAAACGCACTCGCTTTCTGGACTCAGTCGGTGCCTCTGGTGGTGAAGCGCCCCCCTGGTCCAATGTTGTGGTTTCCTCCGGAAGGAAGTCGGATGCTGTAGCGTCGTTGAGTGCAAGAGGTGCTGGTGATGATGCTGATGGCGCAACCTCAACCTCAACTTCAACCATAGGCTCGTCTGCGGGAGCAGACGATGCTGCTTCAACTTCTTCATGGCCACCACTAAGTGGGGCTGAAGGTTCCTCCGGAACATCGGGGAACTGCTCCGGCTCAGCTGCTCCAGGATCGACGATGGGATCCTGGGCAGTCTCCGGGATGATGGTATCTTCCTCCTCGCTGGATTGGCGAGACCACAGAATGATGCCTTTGATCGTGTGATGTAGAGCACACAAGTCCCTGGCACCGGATCGCGAGTGAGTATACCTTCGGAAGTTGTCTCGAAGAGGTACGCATAGCGGTTGACCTCCTGGGTGTCGAGTACAATTTCATAAGGAAGGTTCGCTCGGCTGCCAGCTTTATTCTCAAGCTCGCTCAGGGTGGCTTTCGCGAAGTAGTTGTGAAACTTTCCGCTCCTGTTGAACCCTGGTGTGAAGCCAGTAGAGAGAATATTGAATGCTGCATCATGCGTCGTTCTGTGGTAGAGACGCGGGGGAAACTCCCCAAGAGCAAGGAATGGCCTGCCTTGATAGGCGGCTGTAGGACCAAGCTCCTCACGCGTATCGTTCGTGAACCAATGCAGCGCAATGGAGGAATCGGTCACTTGGTCTTTGATGCGTTCGCTGTGACCATGCGAAGCACAAATCCAAGAGGGCCAAATGTCCGTCTCGATGAAGTCAGCACGCGGATCGGTGGGGAGGCCTGCCAAGTTAAACCTCGATTTGTTATCGTAGGCGACTATGGACAAGATACCTCGTGTTCCCAGATCCACACGGTGCTTCTTCCACATATGCTGAATGAGGTCTTGGATGCGTACCCATTTCCCGCGCCGTGAGCTGAGCTTCACGTTCGATCCTCGGACAGCACCTGTGAGGTAGCGCTCAACGTAAGGTTTGAGGCCCAACTCAGGGAGGTGGTCCTTCGGGATCGAGTCGGGGAGGATCTGAACGATCTCACTCCCCTCCGGATCCTCTGGGCACACATCCTCGTCGACGAAGCCACACATTTCCATCAGGTCCAAGTCGTCTTGGTACTTTACCCCAATGTAGTCGTGTGGGCGAGCCCTTAATAGGCCGCTGGAAGGGTCCCGGTCCTTCTTGGTCATGCCCTCTTTTGCCGCTGACAGAGTACGGTGAGACTCCGTGCGGTAAGGGATGGCCTCGATGACATCGTCAAAGGACACCTCCGGTACGTCGCGAGATGATGCACTGCCAGATGGGCCACTACTAAGTGGGGCTGGATCCTTCCGCTCAGCACGGGCACGTGCTTCCGCCTGCTCTTTCGCGCGCTTTTGCGCCTGTTCACGAGCTGTGGCCCATTCCCAATTCAGGACATCCTGAGGGACCTCACGCATTCCAGTGACCGGAAGATCAGGTGGAGGAACATAAGGGGATTCCCATGGATCAGGGCATTCGTTCGCAGCTTCGCGAATCTCGGCCTGCCTTAAAAGGCGGCGGGAGAGCTGGGACCGATACAGTGCCTTGTCGAAGACATACTGCATGGAATACACCCGCGTTCCTTCTGGATCAAAAGGAAAACGGCGGGCCAGCTCGTCCAGCGTCTCTGCGGGCATCTTCGCGCTTGACACACTTTAATCCGCTGTCCGATCACAGAGGCCAAGGCTGCGCGATGTGTTGAGTCTTCGCGGAAGTGGTAGTGGTCGTGCTTCGGGATCTGGCATACGCTTTCTTTGAGAGAGGCGGTGTATAACCCCCTACTCCTTGCGTATCCGAGGAATTTTCGGATAGCTGTGCGGTACTCTGCTGGCAGCCCGTAGTCCAGTGGGTCGGCATCCGAGAGGATTTGCACTGAGCCCACCGTTGGCCTGCCCTGAAGGGCGGCTAGACGGCCAATCTCACCGCACACACGTGCGGCAATGTCCGCCCAGATCCCTTCCGCGGCAACGCCTTCAGGACCAATCTGCCAGTGTGGCGTCCCTGGGTCGACGAAAACTCCTCTGCGACCGCACAGTTCGTTGCCCATCCAAACAACAACGATATCGACCTCGAGATGCAAGGGGTTTAACGATTCGTTGATGATCTGCGGCAAGAGCGTGTGAACTGCCTCAACGATCGAGTGGAGGTTGCCTCCCCAAATCGCCTTTTGCCGGACATTCGTGTATTGCTGAAGGATATGACCAGGCCCCGTCAGAGCTTTAAAGTCGTCCGCCATCTCAACGAATGTTCTCGCCCCAGCCTTGAAAATGAGGGTAGAGTCGGAAACAATGATGCAGGCTTTTTCACGGCCTCGGCTATCGCCGGGCTGGAAACGCGACAACCCCTCGTCGTTGATCCGTGCCACCTTAGGGAGGGCCTTATAG